TTTTCTTAATATAGAGATACACAAGCCCCCACCAAACCCCCCCCAGACCCTGCACCATGCTCTGTGCCGGGTGCTGACTGCAGCCAGACTCGGGGACAAGACCCAGAAAGGTCCCATTTTCCCCCTTCTCACTAAGCATCGGTCCCCAAGCTGCAGCAAGCCAGGCAGACACCCACCCCGCACCCATAGCAGCTCCCTGGGTGCGATGTGAGAATTAATTCCTCAGGGTTGTTTGCTCAGGGGGTTATTTTCCTCTTCTGATGAAGAGCCCGGGCTCATTGGCAACACTATCAGCCTATTTTTTGCCCTGCTCTCCTCAGCGAGAGAACCGGGAGAAAAGGAAAACAGAGAAGCCACAGGATGCACCGTTATAAGAGGAACTTTCCCCAAATAGAAGCTTTTCACAGTTTTTTCACGAGGCGTCAGCAGCTCTTAATACTGTATGAAGCTGTGAATACTGCATGAAGCAGCCGGCCGGCGCGGAACCTGCAAATGTTCCAGGCTGCAGCTGCAGCCGGCCTGCGAGCGTGGGGCTGGCCGTGCGTGCCCAAAACCTGGCTGGGGTGCTGGGGGGGAAGCAGCTGGAAGAGCAGCCTTAGCTGGGATTTCATATCGGCAGCGCTCTCTGCACCAAACAGGGTTCTAAATCCAATGGATCCCAGCTGGAGGGTGCAGAAATCCTGCACTCATGGACCGAGACCTTGAATTTTGCCCTGACCTGGTTTCTAGCTGCAAAAGACTTGTCTGGAGAGCCCCAGATCTTCATTAGCTCTGTGCTGGGGTAAAAGGAGGGATGCTTTGCTTGTACAATATGTAGCATTTTACAGGAGTACGTGGCTCTTTCTGGGTTTAAATATTTATATATTGAGTGATGAATCCCTGAAATTGTGCAGCGGTATCGATGGCAGGATGAGTTATCACCCGTAGCGTATCAGGTGGCTGCGTTTCAGGGCTGGGAGACGGGATCCAGGTGTGTAGCTGGGTCATAATATGCATATGCAATGAATTTCCAGAGTACCCCAACCTCCTGGCTCGGAGATAGACCCTGTTGCTCTGGCAGGACAAGGGATGGAAGGTGCAGAAATGCTCATTTTGCTCATATTAGACCTTTTCCTCTGGTATTGCCTGTTTCCTGGACTCTCCTTCCCAGTCCTCTCCTCACCAGCACGGTGGCACATCCCATCGTGCCGTCTCCAGTGGCACAGGGTCCCTTTGCCCTCGCTGTTCCCCCATCACGGTCAGGTTGGGTTTTACCATTTTTGCGTTTGTCTGAGCTGCCTTCTCCCTCCCTGGCTGGCTGGCGAGGGAAGGCTGAGCCCTCCCAGTCCTGTGAATGGGGCTGGGGAGCCCACATGGATGCTTGGGGCAGCTGCCCCGAGCAAGGAAACCCCTCGTAGCATCACCCAGGAAGAAAAGCTGCAGGATTTGGGGGGGTTTCTGAGCAGCAAAACGGAGGGGCGACCCTAATTGCTCTTCCTGGGTGGATCCGAGGAAGGAGCCAGCACCATGGTGGGTGTCTGAAACCCACTCCCACTCCGTGACAGGAGCCAGGCGTCCGCTGGCTTTGCCAGGAGCGAAGCCCAAGCTGGACTCTGCTCCAGCCTGACGCGTGCAGGCACCCTTGATCCGGTGACAGGAGAAGGAGGGGAGAGCCCTGCTGCCCTGCCTCGCTCCGGAGCTCGCAGGAGGGGAGCATTAGCCAAAGCAAACATGCCGGAGGGCTTGGTGGTCTGCTGGCCACCCCGAGAGCCAGGCACTTCTCAGGGTGCACGTGCCCAACAGAGAAGGCTCTTAGCCCAAGGGTAAGGTGCTTGGAGCAGGGGAGTGGGCCCGGGGGACCCCTTGAGCACCCTGACCAGCCCCTGGGGCCGAGGGGAGGCTGTCACCGTGAAACCCAGCACAAGGCTTCGGTGAAAGGGATGGGATTCTGCATGCCTGTTGCATATATCTATGCATCTCCCCTTCGGCTGCTTTGCACGGTGAAGGTGGTGGCGTGGGGAGGGCAGACCTGGCAGCGAGGTGTTGGGTCGGAGGGCAGAGCCGCTCGGTAGATGAGGAGCAGCCCCCTCCCCACGCAAAGACACTTCTTTCCCAGCCCGAGTGTCCATGCAGGACTTGCTTTCTGTCCCCAGGGTAGCAGGGTGACACCGTGCAGGATGGCAGGGGGTGGCTTTAGGATGTGAGTCCACGTTTGGGGTATCTTCACCGAGCCTTTCTGCCCTCTCCTTTCAGAGTCTGCCAAGAGAAAGAGATGGAAACCCAAGGGAAAGGCAGCCCCGCCGGGAAGATGACTGCCATGGCTCACAGCCTGTAAGTACCCTCCTCCCCATTCAGGTATTTTTCCTCCGGCCACTTTCTCCAGGGGACTTTGCTCTTTGCTCACCTCTGACAAGTGCCACTGCGACACCTCCGTTCCGCCACGGCTAAGGTGGAAAATTCACAGCAGGGCTTGGGGCAGAGCAAGGCGAAGGCAGGTCCGTGGCGGCAGGGGGGCTGTGGGAACGCGTGGTCCGGGGCTGCCGGAGGGTGTTGGGGTGCCTCCCTGCTGCAAATCTGCTTTTGCCGGGGCGCTGCTGGCGAGGGATGCGTTGCCTTGGTCTGTCGCAGCCCTTGAGGCCTCTGCAAGGTGAATAACGCTGAGCTCAGCTTTATATTTGGGGATCAGGGCGGGGGGGGGGACACCGGCAGGGCAGGGCGGGGAAGGCTGCAGCGGTTGCAGAGCATTTGCTGGCTGCTCCAAGGAGCACAAGGAAAACGGGGTTGCATCCCCGCATCCATCCCCCTGCAAGTCCCGGGGGGAGCAGCGGGGCGGCCTGCACGCTGACCCCCAGCAAGGCTGGGCAGGGGCAGGAGGGATGGAAACGCTCCTGGCATTAAAGACTTGGAAGTCAGAAAGTTTTATTGGGGAGGGCACAGCTGGAGCAATGTCCGCTCGTGTCTCTGATATCCGGAGAGTTTCTTCATTCCTTGCTGGGGAGGGGAGGATGGAGGGAGGCGGATGCTGCGGGGTGAAAAAGGGTGTTTGTTCCCATTTTATTCCCAGTTTGATCCCCAGTGCTCAGCTGTTGCGTTTGGAGCTTTTTTGCCTGGGAGCAAGGGTGATTACGGAGCCGGGCAGGTGGGGGCCCTTTGGGACAAGTTTGAGAGGCTTAAACTGGGGAGAGACGTGGGATCGGGGAGCAAACGGCCTTTTAATTACAGCCCTGCCAGCGGCAGCGGTGCTGGGGGGGGGGAGCTTTCGCCTTGCAGCCGTGCCGTGCTGTGCCGTGCCACGCCGTGGCGTGGGCTCGCTGGCGTAGCGGTGGGATGCAGCGAGTCAGCCGAGACTCGGGTTTCTCCTCCTGAGGAGCAGAGGGGCTGCGAGTAGCAGCCACATGCTCCAGGGATGCTCCCGAGCCCCTTCCCCTGCCCGGTGTCCCCCCACCCCGAGCCGGTTCTCTCCTCCCGGCAAAGCATCCTGCAGGGAAAGGGGCCCGGGCGAGCGCCGCAGCCCGGGTGTTTCAACTGCAAGCGACAATTGTGCTTTTGTTTTGCCTGGCAGGGAGGGGGGGCAGGCAGGAATTCGGCTGCCCAGAAAGCTGCCAGGAACTCTTTATGCCACAATTAAGCACCTGCTACAAGAGAGCAAATAAAGCCAAATCATGCGGCTGGCAAACAAGCCTTACGTGTTCCTTCCCCGTGACCCACTCCAAGAAGAAGAAAGCTCAAAGCGGCAGCTCGGCTGCTCGCAGCTCCCGTTGCAGGGGAATAAATAGATTCGCCGGGAAGGCGAGAGCTTCGCCGCCGGCTCGCGGTCCCGGTGTGGGCACGGAGGCAGCGCCGGGAGCTGCCTGTGCCCAGCTGGAGAACCAAAGGGCTCCCCCCTCCCCAAAAAAGCGACTCCATCTCCTTCTGCTATGGAGAGAGAGATCCCCGTCCTGCGAGTTAGGTGAGGCTGGGGGGGGGGGGGGATGGAATTGGGGAGGGGGTTTAGCGATGCAAAAGGTGCGAGGCGCAGCGAGCGCTGAGGTTTTGACGCCGGCTGACGCGGCGTTGCATCAGTGCCGGCTGCGCCGTGGGCTGCCGGCCGGCCTGATCCGAGCGGAAAGGGCTGAGGGGGGGGGGAACGGGGAGTTTGGGGGGGGGGGGAACGGGGAGTTTGGGGGGGGGGACGGGGGATGGGGGAAGAGGCAGCCGAAAGCCTTGGGAAAGGATGGCGAGGCATCACATGATGCGGATATACGGGGTCAGAGCAGCGGGGTCAGCGTGGCGGGTGCCTTCCCGGCAGCCACGCTGCAAAGATGACTCTGAGTTTTTTTTTAATGCCCTGGGGTGGCAAAGCTGGGCCGGGGGGGGGGGGGGGGGGGGGGGGAGGGGGGGGGGGGCAGGAGGGTGGCTCTGGGGGGTGGGGGGCTGCGGGGTGAGGAGGGGGCTGCGAGGAGCGCTGCGAGCTGGGGTTCAAAGGCAATACCGCAGCGTGCGGCCTGTGCTTGGAGAACACGGATGGATGGGGCAGATCTGCCCCCCCCCCCCCCCCCAAACACCCCCCCCCTAAGTAGAACCAGCTCTGCAAGGGGCTGGGGGTACTTCTGGCGGGGGGGGGGGGGCGGTGTTTGGGGGCTTGTGAGCAGCCCCATGAGGGGTCTCCTCTGGCACCATCAGCACCCCCCAGGGCCCCCGGGAGGGTGGGATGGGGAATTGGGGGGGGGGGGGGATGCAGCAGAGGATGGAGGGCTGGGGGGGGTGGGGATTAGGGGTAGGGGGGTGTCCCATGCTGGGGTGGGTTAGGGGCAAAATGGAGATCCATCCAGGGCCGGATTGGGGGGGGGGGGGGGCAGGATGGGGGGGGCAGGATGGAGACCCCTGCGAGAGGGGAGGGAATAGGGCGCTGCCCCCCCCCCCCCCCCGCGCCCCTCCTCCGCCCGGGACCCCCCCCCCCCCCGCGGGTCTCTGTCAGCCAATGGGAAGCGGCGGCGGGGGGGCGGGGGCGTGGCCTGGTGGGGGCCGCTTGTTTTTTGTGAATGAAAGGCGGGGCGGCGCCGACTGCAGCGCGCCGCTCCGCGCAAGGGCTCCGCGCAGCGCAGGGCTCCGCGCAGGGCAGCGCAGCGCGCAGGGCCGCGGATGCGGAAAGCGGGGCGGGCGAAGTGCCGGGATGGGCCCCCGCGCCCCAGGCTTTGAGCCGCGCAGCGCGGCGCCGAGGCGCGCGGAGCCGAGCCGCGCAACTTGCGCCGTGGCCATGTCCGGAGGGGCGAGCCCGGCCCCGGCCCCTGGGAGCCGTCGCTTCGTCTGTGTTGGTGTAAGTACCGGGGATCCCGCCTCCCCCCCACCCCCAGTCCCCCCCTCTTCCTCTCCTCCGCCGCCTCCTTCCCTCCGCGCCCCGCTCCGCCTCCGCGCATCCCGCCCCGGGGGACAGCGGGGGCCCTTCCTTCGCCTCCTTGCAACGCCCTGCACCCCCGGCCTGGGTGCTCCGAGCACCCCGAACCCCCTTGCAATGCCCCGCACCCCCGGCCTAGCTCCTCCCCACCCTCCTTGCGCTGCCCCGCACCCCCTCATCCGAGTGCTCCAAGCACCCCGAGCCCCTTTGCAATGCCCTGAACTGCCCCCCCCCCTCAGTCTGAGCACCCTCGACCCCTCTGCAAAGCCCCGCAACCCCCATCTGGGTGCTCCAAGCACCCCTCACCCCATTGCAACGCCCTGCACCCAGTCCTGGTGCTCCCCAACCTCCTTGCAATGCCCTGCACCCACCAATCTGGGTGCTCCAGGCACCCGTAACCCCCATCACGATGCCTTGCACCCCATCCGGGTGCTCCGAGCACCCCTAACCCCTTCGCAACACCCTGCACCCAGCCCTGGTTCTCCCCGGCCCCCTCGCAATGCCTCTCACCCCGAATCTGGGTGCTCCGAGCACCCCTAACCCCATTGCAATGCCCCCCCCCCCCCCCCACTCCTTCCCAGTGCCCCCAGTCCGCCGTGTCCCCCGGTGTCGTGGCCAGGCCCGGCCGTGCTGCAGCCCCACTCGGGGCCCCGTTCCCGCATCGCCCCCCCCCCACCCTGCAGCGGCCTGCACAGCCCCGGCTGCCTCCATGGGCCCCCCCCCCCGGCTCCCCATCTCGCCCCCACCCCACAACTGCCAGGAGGGTCACGGGAGGTGCTGCGTTATTTTTGTGCATCGCTGCCATTTCGGGGCGGTTTCCCCCCGGTTTGGGGGGGTTCTCCTCCCCTCGAGAGGTGCGGGATGGAGGATTTTTAGCCTGGGAGTTGCTAGGCGACGGCTCCCCGGGGTGATGGTGCAGTTGCCTTGGCAACCGCAGGCTGGGCAGCCTGGAAGGAGCAATTTTGGGGTTCTCCTTGGCGGGGGGGGGTGTGTGTGTTTGTGTGTTAGTTGGGTGCCTGTGGTTTGGGTGGGGGGCTGCAACGGGCAGGGAGAGCAGGGCTGGGGGGGGGGGGCTGCTGGCTGGAGCAGCCCCACACCCCAGGGAAGTGCTTTGCCTGTGGGATGTGGCGGGGGGGTGTGGTGTGTGGAACTCAGATGTCTGGGAATTTGGGGTTATTTCTTGCTCTCCGGTGGGTTTTGGAGCCATCCCTGGGAGAGAGGCGGTGGTGGGGAAGGTGGGGAGGGGGGCTGCGGAGGTGGCGGCACGGTGCTGCTGAAATTGTCCCTGCAAAGAGGCTCAGCCCCCTCCTGGGGGGCTGTTTCGTGGGTGGGGGGCTGCGAGCCACCCCCGTGGGGCCACCGGAGCTCCCCCAGCGTGATTCTGCTTTATTCAAAGCCCGCATTTTGTGCCCGCTGCTGTCCTCTCCTTTCTCTCCTCGTTCCGGGCACTGATCCCATTAGGATTTAGCCCTTAATTCCCTCGGGGCTCCGGACTTTCTGAGCAGGCTCCCGAGTCCCCGCTGCTCGGCTGGGCGTGGGCTGAGCTCCCCACGCGGGGCAAGAATCCAAACTGCCAACCGCATCTCCATGTGCCTTCCCCTGCACCCCCCCACCCCCCACCCCCCCTCCGGCCATCTGAATGAGCTCAGCCGACCGGGGAGCATGGCTGGCCCTAAAAATAACCGCAGCGACGCTCCCCGAGCACTAACCACCTCCTCGGAGATCTCCTGGCCCTGCAGAGCAAAGCTGCTCCCCGGGAGGGGATCGGGGAGGGCAGTGGAGGGGGCCGCGTGAGGTGGAAATAAATTTTCAGGGCCTAACGGGGAAGGAGACAACCTTCCCTGACTCCTTTTCGCCGTGCAGAGCCCGAGGAGGTGGCTGTTCCTGGTTTTCCATGTCCTCAGCACACAGCATCCCCTGCATCCCAAAGGATGGCGGGGACGTGGCGAGCGGTGACAACTACTCGGAGAAGTTTTGCCTCGGGACCAGCCACTATCTAAGCGCTGGCACCTAAAGCGACCTGGATTTGTGCCTACGCTTGCCTGCAAGGCTTGGGGCTCAATCCTGCAGGGTGCTGAGCCCTTTCACGTGCCGTCTGCTCCGGGCTGGCGTAGCCAGGTGTGCTCAGAGAGCTTGCGCGCGGGAGGGAGGTGCTAACATTGGAAAGTCCTTGCCAGGCTGCTAGTTTGGGGAGCTGTGGCCGTGGTCCCCGCGTGCGGGGCTCGGTTGCCATCGTTACCGGGTATTTTAGCTCACTGAGCCTTTTGCGCTGGTGGTTTATTATAGCAGCTCGGGAGGCCGGTGCCAGGAGGTGGTGACAAGGGGGAAGAGATCTGTGGCTTTGGGAAGTTCAGAGCAATTGGGATGTGGGTTTTGTTTTGTTTTGTTTTTTTTTGTTTTTTTTTTTTTTTTTTGTTGTTCTTCTCCCCTCAATCTCCTCCCTGCTCTTCCCCCCTGGAAATCACGTAAATCCCCGGCTTAACGCTGTGATGAGTTAATTCTGGGCTGGTTTAGACCCTGGGGCTCTGAACAGGCAAAGGGGGGCACATTTGGGTGCTCCTGCTCGTGGGATACGGGTGCTTCGCTTCGGCTTCGCAGCACCCACAGCACCGACCTCCCTCTCGGGAGGGTTTGGGTCACACCTGGTCTTGGGAGGGCGGCGATGCTGGGAGCCTTCCCAAACCCGATGGCTGCTGAGTCTTCTGGAAATACAGCGAGTTTCTTTTGCTGCTCTGAGCTGGGAGCAAATATCCCCACTGGGAATGGGGTGGGGAAAAAAGGGGGTGGGTGGGTGTCGAGGGACAGACGTGGGGCTCCCCCGAGACAGGCGGCTGGAGAGGTTGGCAGTGCTGGGGTGTGCGCTTGAGCAGGCGGCTCTGGAAGCTTCTCTTGCAAACGCTGGAGAGGGAGAAAGGGGAAAGGAGGAGGGAAAAAAAGAAAAAAAAAAAAAAAAGCCTCATCTCACATGAACAAGCATGAGCCAGGGCCGGAGAGACGGGGAGGGAGGAGGGTCGAATTTAACGCAGGGCATGTGTCTGACGTGCGGCAGAGCAGCGCACGCTGCCACGAGAACATTAAATTTTAAAGGGGACTGGCGGGGGAGCGCGGGCCGGGGAGGGGTGGGCAGCTGCCTTCGCTCGCTGCCTTCCCCCGGGGGCTCCCCGCTGCTGGTCGCTGCAGAGCTTCCCCCCCCCCCCCCCCCATGCTGCGAGGGGCTGGCAGCTCCGAGTGTGAGGATCAGCAGCATCTTGTGTCTTCTCCCCCCCTCTTCAGCATCCTGTCCTGTCTGGAGACAGCCCCCCCCTCCTCCCCGGCTTGTCCTGGTGGCTGACACCCCCCCCCCCCCCCCCCTCTCCCGCTTCCCCCCCGCAGGTCCCAATTAATGGATTCTGACATGGATTATGAGAGGCCAAACGTAGAAACTATCAAGTGCGTCGTGGTCGGGGACAACGCGGTGGGCAAGACCCGACTGATCTGTGCCCGCGCCTGCAACGCCACGCTGACCCAGTACCAGCTCCTCGCCACCCACGTGCCCACGGTGTGGGCCATCGACCAGTACCGCGTCTGCCAGGAGGTGAGGGCTGTCGGGGAGCGGGGATGCCGGGCGGGCTGGGCTCGTGGCTGCCCCATGGGAACCCCGAGGAGACGGACGTGCACCCTCCCCACGGAGGAATTGCGGGGACAACCCCGCTCTTGGCAGGGCTGGAAGACTCAGGAGCTGGGCGGTGTTTTTCTTCCCGCAGGTGCTGGAGCGCTCCCGGGATGTGGTAGATGATGTTAGTGTGTCCTTGCGGCTCTGGGACACTTTTGGTGACCACCACAAAGACAGGCGCTTCGCCTATGGCAGGTAATGGAGAGGCAGGGCCTCGTGCCGTGCCAGAACACGGCGGGGTTGGCTCCGTCGCCGAGCTGGACCTTGACCTTCCTCTCCTCGCAGGTCCGACGTCGTGGTTTTGTGCTTCTCCATCGCCAACCCCAACTCCCTACACCATGTGAAGACCATGTGGTACCCCGAGATCAAGCACTTCTGTCCCCGTGCTCCCGTCATCCTGGTGGGCTGCCAGCTCGACCTGCGCTATGCCGACCTGGAGGCCGTCAACCGGGCACGGCGACCCTTGGCCAGGTGGGACCCTTGGGCCCCGGAGCTGCCCATGCCTGCCCCGTGCTTTCTCCTTATCAGGCATCCGAAGACGAATTCATCATTACCTCCCCTCTTTTTCAGGCCAATCAAACCTAACGAGATCCTTCCCCCGGAGAAGGGGAGGGAGGTAGCCAAGGAGCTGGGGATCCCCTATTATGAAACGAGCGTGGTGGCCCAGTTTGGCATCAAGGACGTCTTCGACAATGCCATCCGGGCCGCCCTCATCTCCCGCCGTCACCTGCAGTTCTGGAAGTCCCACCTCCGCAACGTGCAGCGGCCTCTTCTCCAAGCCCCCTTCCTGCCCCCCAGGCCCCCTCCGCCCATCATCATCGTCCCGGACCCCCCTTCCAACAACGAGGAGCGCCCAGCCCACCTTTTGGAGGACCCTCTGTGCGCGGACGTCATCCTGGTGCTGCAAGAGAAGATCAAAATCTACGCACACAAGATCTACCTCTCCACCTCCTCCTCCAAATTTTACGACCTGTTCCTCATGGACCTGAGCGAGGAGGACCAGCAGAGCACCGCGGGGCACGGCTTCGGGGTGGCCGTCACCGCGGCCGCCGAGAGGATGCTGCACCAAGAGGAGAGGCACCACGGGCGGGATTTCCTCCTCCGAGCTGCTAGCTTTGATATCTGCGAGAGCGCCGAGGAGGCCGGATCCGGCCAGCGAAAACCGTGCCTTAGAGCCTCCACCAGTGATGGGATCCTGCGGGGAAACCGCTACGAGAACGGGGAGCGGGGGCTGCGGCGGGGAAGGGACCTCTCCTCTTGGAGCCGGGCTTTCACCAGCATCCAGGAGGAGATGGCAGAAGACCCGCTGACCTACAAGTCCAAGCTCATGGTGGTGGTGAAGATGGATGCTTCCATCCAGCCGGGTCCTTTCCGGGCTGTGCTGAAGTACCTGTACACAGGGGAGCTGGATGAGAACGAGCGGGACCTCATGCACATTGCTCACATCGCTGAGCTGCTGGAGGTGTTCGACCTCCGGATGATGGTGGCCAACATCCTCAACAACGAGGCGTTCATGAACCAGGAGATCACCAAAGCCTTCCACGTCCGGAGGACCAACCGGGTGAAGGAATGCCTGGCCAAGGGGACTTTTTCGGGTATGACTCCGGGCCAAGGGGGAGGACCATCCACAGCACCCCCCTCTCCCTTCCCGGGGGGCTCTGCTGGATGGATGGGGGGCTTGGAGCTCTTGGCTTTGAGCGGGAGCGGGGCGGCCGTGCCGTGGCTCAGCAGGCGCTCACACCTTCCCCAGGGTTTTTGGTCACAGTTTGGATTTCTGGGATTTCTTTTTCCCCCAGAAAGTGTGAGTGTAATGGCCCTTTCCCAGGGTTTCCTGCTCCCCAGCCCGCCTGACAGTTCTGTTTATTTACTGGAGAGCAACAGAGGCGACTTCCTTCCCTCCCGGGCCCAGATTTTCACGTGGTTATCTGATTTATGAGGAGCGACGTGCCCTCGGTAGGACTTCCCCAGCTTTCCGCCAAGCACCACGTGTCACCAGCTTGTGCCGCAATGCTGCGGGGTGACGTCCCGGGGGGATGCGAATGTCCCAGCCTCCTTCCAGCTGAATTTGTTTCATGAGGATGGACCTTGTTATGGTCAAACTGCCACTGTCAGGGGACGGATGCGTGCTGGCCCATGGCACGCCTCAGGGAAAGCCCTGGTTCCGGGTGGAGAGCGGAGTAGGGGGGCAGGAGATCCCCGACGTTTTTCCCAGCTCTCCCGAGGACTCAGGCTTGGGCCAGGCATCTGATTCCTGGGTTTTTCCCCTTTGCTTTCCAATGTGTCGTGATATATCTGGGGAAGATCCTTTGGAAGAACTGGAGCTCCTCCAGGGCTCTTCCCTGAGCTCCTCTGAGCCAGCAGAGAATGCTGGGGGAAAAAAAAAAAAAAAAAAACAAAAAAAACAAACAAACAAAAAAAAAAAACCAAAACAAAACAGAGATCTTTAGGACAAATGATAGAATCTGCCAGGCTCTATCCCCTTCTCTCCGCTGTTCCCGGTGCAAGGCATTTTGTGGCAGGGGTTGGCTGAGCCCCGGGTGACGGGGACAGTCCCAGTGGCATCCCTCTGCTTGTCCCCAGATGTCACCTTCGTGCTGGATGACGGTGCTATCAGTGCCCACAAGCCCCTGCTCATCTCCAGCTGCGACTGGATGGCCGCGATGTTCGGCGGCCCCTTTGTGGAGAGCTCCACCAACGAGGTGAGGAGGGGGTCCTGGGACTTGTCCCGGGAGGGTGGGACAGCAGGGGACAGGCGTGGGGTGACAGCCGGGTGCGTGTCTCGCAGGTGGCACTTCCTTACACCAGCAAGAGCTGCATGCGGGCGGTGCTGGAGTACCTCTACACCGGGCAGTTCAGCTCCAGCCCCGACCTCGATGACATGAAGCTCATCATCCTCGCCAACCGCCTCTGCCTGCCGCATCTGGTGGCTCTCACCGGTGAGTGGAGGTGGCCGCAGCGGGACGGTGTCCCCCGCTGTCCCCAGGCTTGGTGGCAGCGCGGTGCTCCCGCTCTCACCCCATCCCAACCTCCCCGTAACCCCCCCACCCACCCCGTGTCCCCCCCCACAGAGCAGTACACCGTCACCGGCCTGATGGAGGCGGCACAGATGATGGTGGACATCGACGGGGACGTGCTCGTGTTCCTGGAGCTGGCTCAGGTAGGACGTGGTGGGACAGGACCCCGTGTTGGTGGGGCTGGGGATGCACGAGGGGCTGGGGGATGCTCTCCTGGCAGAGAGGACAACCAGATCTGGTCTTGGATGTCCGTGGAGCAATAGGGTGGATCCCTCCTGCTTCTCCAGTGGTCCGTGCCACGGTGGCTCTGACGTGGGCTCCATCTCTTGCAGTTCCACTGCGCCTACCAGCTCGCCGACTGGTGCCTCCATCACATCTGCACCAACTACAACAACGTCTGCCGCAAGTTCCCCCGGGACATGAAGGCCATGTCGGGAGGTGAGCGGGGGCCGGGGCAGGATGGAGGTGGGGGGGCGGGTGGTCCTGGCACTGCCCTCACCCCCCTCCCCGTCTCCCCACAGAGAACCAGGAATACTTCGAGAAGCACCGCTGGCCGCCGGTGTGGTACCTGAAGGAGGAGGATCACTACCAGCGGGCGAAGAAGGAGCGGGAGAAGGAAGACTACCTCCACCTCAAACGGCAGCCCAAGAGGCGATGGCTCTTCTGGAACGCCTCCTCCTCCCCTTCTTCCTCTCCTTCATCGTCGGCAGCCACAGCCTCCTCTTCTTCCTCCTCCTCCTCCTCCTCGGCTGTGGTTTGAAAGCCCGTCCTTGCCCTGGCTCCAGCATCCCTGGGAGGAGACGGGGAGGAGGAGGAGGAGGAGGAAGGGTGGGATGACCTGCCCCAGCACCAGGCGTGGAGCGGATGCCACCGGCCAAAGCCCCAGAGGAGCCGGTGGTAGCAGGGGCCCGTCGCTGCGGAGGGGCCCGGGGCCAGGCGCCAGCCCCCAGCACTCCTGGAGCAGGGCTGGCAGAGACCGAGCAGCAGGAGAAACTCACGTTTACAGGAGCACGAGGGCTGTGTCGTGGATTTTTTTTTTTAATTTTTTTTTTTTTTTTTTTTTTTTTTGGAACATCAGCAGCATGAGGAAGAAGAAGAAGCCCATCCCGCTTCCACTGCAGTTTGAAACCAGAAGCTGTGGGATATGGTTTGTTTGTCTGATGGCATCGTGCCACCCTGGGCAGCCGGAGCTGCTGTGGGGGGTCCTGCCACCCCCTTTGACTTACAGCAGGGTCAGGCACGGTGCAGGGGACCCCTGTCCCCAAATGCCTCCAGGCACGCACTGCAGCATCTCTCCTTCTACTCCCAAGTGGGGTCTGTCCTAATTCGGGGAGCGGGAGAGGACAGGAGCCCTCTCCTCCCTGCCTCTTAACTTTTAATTTTTGTTTAAAACGAAAACTTAAAGAAAAAAACAAAACAAAACAAAACAAAAAAGACAAACAGCTATCCCAAACCCACCCCCCTGCAACCTGCCACACCAGAAACCAACCCCAGGCCTTGGGCTTGGGATTTTAGCCTGGAAGGCTCCATTGTAATAAATGGTATTTTAAAAGCCCGGCGTGGTCCCTGTGTGTTTGGGAGGAAGCAGCTGGACACGGGGCTTGGGGTGACACCAGCACCTCCCCCCCCAGCGCTCCCAGGGCCAGTGGCGGAGCGTTGCAGGATCCAGCTGCCAAAAACCCTTGTAGGAGGAGAGGTGGCTTTACCGTCGGACTAACTTGGCGTGTCCCACCTGTGTCCTTGTAGGTGCCCAAGCACAGCGGGGACAGGCAGGAGGAGGCAGCGTGGCCCTGCGGGCTTTGCGGGACTGCCAGGCAGGGCAGGTGAGCAGGAGGGACCCAAACCTCTGCTCGCCCTCCCCAGCCGGGAAGGGGAAAGCTCCTTTGAGCTCATCCCTGGCAGAAACTGCTGCCGGAGCGAGCACGGAGGGATGCTGCTGGCAGGGATGCTCCCGCCGCTGCCCCTTCCCGCTCCGCGTTGCTCCTCTTCCCGGCCGGCCTCGGTGGAGCACCTTGGAGTCACTGGTTTCACACGCTCATCCTCAGCCACGGCTGCAGGAGCGAGGTTGCAGCTCCGGTGTGCTTACACTCGGGGTTTTCACACTTTGCAGCACCAGCGAGCAGGTAGGACCACAAGCTTCTTTCCTTTTTGAACCTGGGCGCTCGCCGCTGCTCCCAAGTCCCGTTTGCCTTCCCCAGGCCAGGACACCCCCCCCCCCCCCCCCCCAACCCCCGTGTCCCGGCACTAAATCCTGCATGTGCCTGGCTTGCAGGAGCTCCCTGCCCAGGTTTGCACGCTTGGGAGGGCATGCTGGGGCTGCCTGGGACAGGACCTCGGGCATGAAACCTCGGGGCAGGTCACCAAGAGCTCCTGCTTTTAGCACTCGCGCCAGACCTGCATTATTGCTAAACCCCAACTGCAGTGTGAAGGCTGGTGGGCAGCTCGAGGCCGGGGGGAGGGGGGGGCTTTCTGGGGCGGGCAGAGCCCTTTTCACCCTAAGCACTGCATGGATTTCCAACGCAGCTATTGCAACACACAGAGCCCTGGCTGGGGGGGAGCCGGAGCGGGGGGAAGCACCGCAGCCCCCCCGGCAGCAGCGGCTCCCTCAGGGGGGGTCAGCAGCATCGCTCGGCCCCGGGGTCCCAGCCCCTGCCCACTCGAGGGACTGAGATTTCAGCCTCCTACTTTTGCAGGCGACTAAAGAGCACAGGACTCAGGGTGTAGGTGTCAAGGCAGAGCCCAGGCTTGCTGCTGAGGATTTTCCCCAGCAGAAGCGTCGCTGGTGGGGACCCATCCCAGCAGGATGCCCGCGTGGCAGAGCACTAACACCACGGCCTGGGTCCTTAGTGCCACACGGAGCAGCTGCTGAGCATCTGGTCCAGCTCCTTTGGTGCCCACTGAAACCCAGAACAGACAGTCGCCAGTGTTACAGCACAGCAAGAGGCCGGGGGGGGGGGGGGAGGCAGGGAAATACATGAGAAATCAGGAAGATTTTTTTAAAAGTTTATTCTTCCTTCATAAAGAGACATGTAAAAACTGGAAAAAGCAAACTGGCTGGGCCAGAGCTCTGTATAAAAACACACAAACATGCATAGTAAAAAAACAGTACTATTTTTATATTAGCTTTTAAGTTAATATATGTACACGTTTACAGTTACTAAATAAATACATAAATACAAACTTTCTACTTGCATTTTCTAGACTGGATTTTCGTAAGCCGTGGTGAGGAGGGGGGAGAAGGGGCGGCAGCGGGAGGGACGGGCGCTTCGCAGCACGGGGCAGCTCTGGCTGCAGAGAGGGGCTGGCGCTGCCCCTCGCACCCTGCTGGGAAAGGTCACAGAATGGTTTGCATTGGAAAGGACCTTAAAGATCCTCAAGCCTGGTGGGTCCCGGTGGGCTGGGCTGTACTGGGGCAGCAGCACGTGTAGCCAGCTCAAGTAATGGGATAGTTTTTCCAGCCAAGTTGTCCCTGAGCTATGTGTGAGAGCCAGAGCAAGGGGCAAAGTGTTTGAGGAGCGACCCATCGAGGTGGAGGATGGATGGTGGGTACCCACAGACACGCTCAGTGCATTCACCTTTCCACGCTGGCTGAGACAGACAGGGACAGCAAAGCCACTCCACAGCCAAGGGAATGGGAACTAACCGACTCAACCAAAGTCATGGAGAAGGTTTCTGGCACCCCGGTGGTTTGCTGCCCACGTTCCCCACCCTGCTCTGAGGAGGAGCTCACTCACTCCCTGCACTGACCCTTTTCTTGGGCAACCCCAGTGATCACAGGGCAAGTCAGTCATTCCCACCCTCCCCTCAAAGTCCAGTTGCACACTGGTGCCTAACAGCAAGCAGAACCACTACTACTTAAAACGCAATTCATTCAACAGCTTTGAGAAAGTAACCCAAGAACCCAGTTAATGCTTGCCCACCGAGCATACAGTATTAAGCCTGCTGGCCAGCTTAGAGATGTTCTACAAGCAGAAGCCATTGCATGATGTCACGAATGCCCCCCCGAAAGGGTGATCCAGTTAAAAACCACAAGGATGCCTACAACCTTGCAAAGGTCCTTCTCTGCACTGATCCTGAAGATGTCCCTGTAGAACCAGCGCTTCCAAGTGAGACAGTCCTGGAAGCAGCTTGCAGTAGTTTTAGGCTCTTTGCATTGATCCAGTGAAATCAAGGCGTCAGTTTGGATTTCACAAGGAAGCACCAACATCGAGCCCACAGTTTTGGCAGAGAGGACCATGAGGTTTGTGCTTCATGAGAGGATCAACTCCTCTGGGCTCAGCTGAACTGTACAATGGCTTCAAAAAGAAAAGCGCCAAAGGAGAGCTATAAAAAGACAAAACTCAAGTTTTCTTAGAGGTATTCGTGTCTGCAGCTTAAAGTAGGAAGATGCAGGGCTTGCCCTGCTCCTCAGCTCACTTCGTATTGGAAATATCCCTGCTGGACTAGCTTGGAGGAGATGTCCTCTGCAATCCCTCCGAGATTGATCTGGTGCAGGGTCTCCAGCAGCGTGTTCACAGAGGCGTTCATCCCTTCTCTGTTCTGCCACGTGTTGAGCATCTGGAAGAAGGGCTCCAGTGAATACCTGTCGTTCATCTCCGCGAGGACAATGTCGTTCTCCAGCAGATCAAGGGCTCGGCCGTATCTCTTCCAGTCCTTGTAGGGCACATCTCGGGCAAAGATGTCAAAAGAGCGTCGCAAAACTAGAGTAGGGGAAGGGAAAAGCTCAGAGAACAGGGTAGAGCACAGACAGCTGGGTCAGAAAGGATTTTGCCCAGAAAGCTCATCCTGCAGGCTCGCCCCTTCCCTGCCCCTCCAGCACACCCCTTGGGCCCCAACACTTACTGGTAACGGGGTCTTTTCCTTGCACTGGAACCAGATTCCTCCTGGGTTTCACACTGGGATCTGAGGTCCTCGGCACCATCACCTGGAAAGACAACATCCTACAGCACCCACCAAAGCGCCAGCACAAATGCTGTCCCCAGGTCCCGTTAATGAGGGGGTTGGAGACCCTATCCCTCTCTCCGGGGGCTGATGGGGCAGGAGATCATCACACACCCGCCCCCGGACACCCATCGTTTCCTAGCTTTGGCATGGCAGCAGGCCACGAGCAGGGGAGAGCTGCCTCGTGGGTCCCAGTCAGGGGGAGAAGAGCTGTCTGTTTGCTCAGCACCAGCATTAAATCTGCAGAGGACCCTGGCAGCTGACTGCAACAAGCGGATTTGGCAGTCCTAAACCCAAGGCAAGGACAAGAAACCCCTCGCTGTCTCCATGCAGAAACCACGGTCCAGCCCTGGAAGCCCTCCCAAGCTGATCAGCTTGGTGACGGCAGAGGAAACATTCAGACCTCAGCTGAGCACCACGGAGCAGAGGGGCACTCTCATGTACCTCCGGCCCCGGAGCGCTGGGAGTCACCGAACCCGACGCCCTGGGGAGCAGCTGATCCCAGTACTGCTCGTTGCGGATGTTGTCCTGTGTCCCCAGGCCCCCCCTCTGGTACCTCGTCAGCTGCCGCACCACGTAGTCCTGCGGCAGGAGAGAAGCACAAACCAGCCGAGTCGGGTGGTCCCGGGAGGGCAGGGCGCACACCAGCCCCCTCAGGGAGACCGACTATGGTGGCAGGACCCTGCCGTGGTTTCAAGGGCGTGACTCGCTTGCTCATCTTGAGCTTGAAGGGGCCCCAGTCCAGCACAGCCCTCCCTTTAACCTGGGGTCCCCACCAGGGACCCTGGATGTGCCAGCCCCTCTGCCACAGGAGGGTTAATAGCACTGGAGAGGGGGCTGCAAGCACCCCACATACGGCAGGGCACTACCAGAGACCCTCCTCTGCTTGGCCCAGCTCCTGCAAGGGTGAGCCTCAGCCCCCTGCTCCTCCAGCCCTCCCAGGAGCTGCAGGCAAAGTGGGGAGTGAAGGGCACGGGGGACCTCACCCCAGTCCCACAAATGGAGCCGCCAGCCCCCCAACCCCAACATCCCCCCCCCCCCCAACTCACCACCACGCTGCAGGACTTCCCACTCAGGTCTCTCCCATCCCCTGGAAGATGAAAACAGTGCTGTGATCCCTCTCTCCCCAGGCAGGTCCCTCTTCCCACCCAGCCCACACCCACGCAGAGCCCCCCGGCCAGGGCGAGCGTTTGGGGGGTCCCCTGCACCCCGTGCTCACCTGGGGAACGGCAGCAGCAGTACTTCCTGACGACCCAGATGAGCACCACCAGCAGCACAACAAAGCAGGCCACTGAGGCGGCCATGATCAAGTTGTCTAAAGTGAATAAAACCGGGGGCGTGGGGAGCTGCTCCTGGTCTTCTCAGCAGCAGCTCACACCCCCGTCCCTCCGCCTGTCCTCCCTCCTCCAGCAGCCCCCCCCCACTTACTAGAGGTGCTGGAGGTGGTGGTGGGGGGACCGCACTGGCGGTCGCTGTGTGGGGTGCAGGGAGCCAGCTCCACTTCATCCTTGGGACACCTGGGAAAGGGGGGAGACGGGGCAGGCTCAGGGGCCGGGGCTCCCAGCGCAGACCCCGGCGGGACCCCGCCGCGTCGCCCAGCTCACCGGGGCCGGCACTTCTGGCACATCTCGCAGGGGTGGTCCGGGGAGCAGAAAGTGCCGTTCCTGCAGGCGCACTGCGTGTCCCTCACCGCCTGGCAGGGACTCAGCTCCACCTGATCTGCGGGCGAGAGGAGAGACCGCTCTACCCCAGCCCCTCCACACCACGCTCCTCCAAACGCTTCCTTCGTTAACGCGGCTAACGACCCGAGCTGACCCACATGCCTGGGGAACACCAAGTCACTCTCTACTAGTGAGTTTCAGCCTTACCCTTTCCTGCCCCACACCTCACCGTGCCCAAGAGAAAAGCAATGCTTGCATCAAAGCTCCATGAGCAGCCTACAACGCTGCCGTGAGCCCAATCCTCCCGGTCCTTGCTGGAGGTCTCGTGTCCAAGCTTTGCACAAGGGATGCTGCATCGAACAGAGACACAGGCCTGGCACAAACCGCTACACCAATTCCAGAGCCAGCCTGCTCCCCGCAGCCTGAGCCACTCTTTGGGGACCGTGCTCTTAAATAGAGAGGTCTCAGCTGAACCCAGCCCGTGCTATCAGCCAGCATCACCCTCTTTCACACCAGCTCTTACCTTCCCTACACGTCCGGCACCCAAGGCACTTGGGAAAGTCATTTGGATACTCGATGTATTCATCTTCTTTACATGGCAAGCACTTGCTGGAGCCATTTTGCTCTTCACAGTGCTCTGCAACGTAAGTGCCTGCAGGAAGGGGTGTTGGAGAAGAGGAGGAGAAAGAAACGGTGTATCTGTGAACATAGAGCACAGGATGGCGAGGTCTTTCCAGACAGCGAGTTGATTCCACTGCTAGGGGAGTTAAGAGGCAAATTAGGAACCATCAAAAGGAAAATGTTCCCAGAATGAGTCCTCATATCTCACTACGGCATAGCAGGGGAGAGCTGGAGCACTCACTGCCTCCTCGCGAGGAGGAAGGACACAGGGGCTCTGCAGGCATAAACATGGTGAGGCTGCACGGGGTGTGATCGATGTTTGAGACCATCTTACCCGCGGGGCACTTCTTGCAATAGTGGTCTCTGTCTTGGACTTGGTAAAACTCTTCCCCTCCCCTGCTTGGGTCCCTCTTATTCAGTGCTGCTGCATCTATTCTCAAAAGAATCTCCTGTTAAAAAAATATGGAAAAACTTGGGTTAAAAACCACCCCAAGTCCATCGGGCAAGGGAAGAAAGAGAAGGGCAAGAGCTGCTCTGCCCATTGTGCTCAGGCAGAGCAGGAGAGGAGCTCTGGGATGGCTCAGAGCCGCTGGACCTGGTGGCCAGACCTCCCCTTGCCACAAGTGAAGGGCACTTTCCCCATACGAGGGTGGTTATTTCCTTGGCAAAGCATCAGGAGGAGGTTTGCAGAGGGATTCCTGCATGCCAGGTTATCAGCAAGGTAAAGGCTCACTAATGTTTCCTTAGGATAACATCAGGCCCTCCTTTCCTTCCCCAATTTCTGAGTGAGTGAACCAACAGCACTGAAGAAAATGGAAGGGTAGGGAAGTGGAGCAGGGAGGGCGTTTGTGGGGAGGAAACCAGCCCCGTGTCAAGGCTGGTACGTGGCTTCTGTGCCCACAAGAAACACCCGGGCTGCTCCGGGCTCCCGCGGGACAGCACGGCCTCCAGCGTTTCCGTGTCATCCCCATTATCTTGCTGTGGATAGGGAAGCCAACGGCCCCGTTTCCGCCAGCTCACCATGCACCTTTCTGCTGGCTCAGCAATTTCTGTGCCGGCTGGGTCACTCCAGCTGCAGGGGGATGATGCTGAACAGGAGCGGGCACTCACCCCGTCAGGGTTTGGAGGGCCTTTGGGCACCCCAGTGTCCCCAAGGGGGACAATACTCTTGGCCTCTCAACTAGCACAGCTGCTCCATGGATAGAAATGGATATAAATCTGCCCCCACCTCCAGCCTCTGCCCCCTTCCCTGGGCTATAGGGTGTGATGGTGCCTGGCCACGCTGTGTGCTGCACGTGCTTTTCCCCTTCCCCTCCCATACACAGAGAACAAAACCTGCATCTTAAAGCAAATATTTCTTCAGTGAGTCAGAAGCTGCCTTGAAAGGCTGAAACAATAGAGTCCCGAGCTGTCCCGCCATCCCCTGGGCCAGCCTGGCCATCTACAGAGCAGATCATCCCCCCCCCCCCTCCTCTCCAGACACTTCCCACACTTGTACAAGGAAGGGTGTGAGCACCAGCAGCAGCAGGTCCGACTGTCACGAGGCTGCAGAGGGTGACACAAACAACACCGCCGAGACCGGCCAGGCCATGGAAAGGGCGATCCCCCCTCCCACCACCACAGCACAGACGCCCCCGAGCCCGGGCCAGCCCAGGAACGGAACGGGGCCGTCTCCAGAGCCCTGCTTGGAGGGATCAAATCCACTTCCCTCCAATGGCTTCTAGCTCCGCACTGCCCACTGCTGCTTTCTCTGGCCGGGAGGGTTTGCAAGTTTATAAAGTGCTTTTCTATCCAGTATAGGAGATAAGTCTGGATTTTACCTCTCGGCCACAAGCAGCTCTCAGGGCTTTACCCACTCTGGTCTTGAAAGTCTCTGGGGACTCAGACCGGGCAGCCTGTCCCACTGCCTCACTGTCCCCACGAGGGAATAAAAAAAAGTCTTTCTTCCCCACTCAAACTCTGCCAGGCCGTGAAGGTGATCAGAGCAACAACACAACATTATCCACTGTTTGTAAAGGCCCCTTAGGCACAGGATTTCATTGCTTTTCATGAAACAGCGACTCAGCAGAGCTTGCAGAAGTGCACGATAAGGTTATCAGCCCACACCACTTTCCCCAGCAAGTGCAGTTCAAGTACATCATCCCACCACAGAGCCCTTGGCAGGCGAGGGCTGCCATCCCTGACTAACCTATCAGTCTTGCAAAGCACGGGGAGAAACCAGGCTGGGAGCCGTGGGCGAGACGCAATGGTATTCAAGCGTAGTTTTCACCCACAGTAAACATCCCAAGAAAGCAACGTTGCCTCAAGGCAGAGGAATTACCAGGCACAGGAATCCCCAATACCCTCACCAGCTAAAAGCCTCTTCCTTCTGGATAATCAGGTCCAAAGAAAAAGCTCTGGGAAGCATCGAGCTTTGAACTTTTCTTCCAACCCCAATTTGGTTTTCTCCTGAAGTGATCCCAAGGAAGGAGTTGGACCCTACAGTAGAGGACTGACCCCTTGCTGAACTCCTGACCATCAATGAACATTTATGCAGCATTGATATGCGGCCCTGGATTGTAGCAAGAGAGGCTCTTAGCCAGCAGTGTTAAGGACCAGAGATAAGTGAGATGACAGGCAAGAGACCCTGCTCCAAGGGCACACGTCTGATGAACGCAGGGATTTTCCCCCCAGACTTCCTGCAGATGAAATTGGAGCTCCAGCAAATGAAGAGATCCAGCGGCATTCCTCTTCAGGAGCTTGTTGGCCAGGTCCAGGCATGATGCAACAAGCATTGGTGAGCAGAGGAAGGAACCGCAGCCACAATATCGTATGATTACCACGTGGGGCATCATCAGTCCTGATCGGTTCCCTCACCCCTTTTCTTTTATTAAAAAGAAGAGGGGGGAAAAAAGGAAGAAACTGTTAAGAGCACTCCCTTAGGTGATGCGTTTAGTAAGGTCTGAGTCTATGAGGCAAGTCTAAATAAACTCTGATAAACAACATAGGGAAGGAACTGGATGAGAAGCTGACTCTTTTTTAAAAACCTGTCACGGGCAGTGCTGATTTAAGCGAGAGTAATTCCACCATGGGAGCTGCAACCACGGCTCCGCCGTGCTCCCTCACAGCAGCAGGATTACAGGTCAGTCCTGGGATAAAACTCAGGGCAGGATCCCCCGGGTAAAACTCAGGGCAGGATCCCCCGGGTAAAACTCAGGGCAGGATCCCACTGACTTCAGGTGAGACGAGACTTTAGGTATTTCTGAGCTCTATAGCAACACTCAATCCACGGGGAGACATGGGAAAATCCCACGGCAGGTGGGATTTTCTATCCGAAAAGTCAGCAGCGCTCAGGGTTTGGACATCATTTGGGCATGTTGGAGAGGCAGAATTCCTGCACCAAGCAGCCCAGAGCTGCCCACACCCATGCCCGATGTTTTCAAACATCCCGCGCGGTCTTGTCATGGCCATGAGATCCCGGCACAGAATGGCAAACAAGGCTTGGAAGCAAAAGGAGCGGAAATCCCCTGCAGAGGCAGCGCTCGAGCCTTCCAGCCCCACGTCACCTCTGAACCCCCCAGCCCTCACGCCACCACCGGCCCAAGCGCCTGCGCTCTCGCCCGCTGCCCCACACCCACGAGGGCTGAGATCACCCTTCCCGTCCCACCTCCACGCTGCTGCTTCCCCCCTGCCCCACAGCCTCGGCCTCATCCCCCACCCCCCGTGCCCAGGTGAGCCCCCATACCCCTGCTCCCCTCCCATGGGCCTTGCCCAAGTGACACCCCCCCCCCCCAGTCCCCACCTGCCCAGGTGTCCCCCCCCGTAGCCTCAGTTTCCCCCACATACCCCGTGCCCTGCGAGCCACCCTAGAGCTTCAGCCCCCCACATCCCCTGGACTAGATGAGCCCCTAGATCAGGTGAGCCCCCCATAACCCCGGCTCCCCCCACACCTGGACCAGGTGAGCCCCACTATACCCCCAGCTTCCCCCCCCATAGCCTCTAACCCACAGGAGCCCCTACCTCCTGATCCTGCCCTGCCATAATCGCTGATAAAGATCACACACACCCACCCCCCAAATCCCCCAGATCTCCCCCAGGTAAGCCCCCAGCCCCATTTACACCCAGGGGCACCCCCCAATTCACACAGCCCTCTCCCCCCCCCCCCCCCCCGACTGACTGAACCGGCACCCCCAGCCCAAGGCAGCCCCCCAACCACCCCTGCTGCCCCCTCCCCACTTTACCCCCCGCTCCAGGACCCTTTCCCAGCCCGGCGGCCCATGCCCCTCGACGGTGCGGCAAGCCCGGGCATGCCGCGGCAACACCGAGCGGCGCCGCCGGGGGTCCCGGGGCTCCCCCCGACACCCACGCGGGCTCCCCACGACCGGTCCGCGGCCCCACGCACCGTGACCACCAGCAGCAGAAGCGGGAGGCAGCGCCGTCGGGGCGCGCGGAGCAGCGCCCGGCGCATCTTGCGCGGAGCCGGGGCGGGGGGGGAAGCGGAGCGGAGCGCGGTGGCCGCGGCACCGGGCGCGGCTCGGGGACGGCGACGGTACCGGGCACGGCTCGGGACGGGCCCGGGCACGGCTCTGCCACGACGGGACGAGTAAATCCCAGTACGGTCAATGGGACCATATGGAGCGGCGGGGCGGACCGCGCGTATTTATACAGCGCGGGGGGGCGGGGGAGGAAGAGGAGGAGGAGGAAAAGGAGGGCTGGCCCAGGGCACGGATCGCTGCTAAACCTCCTGGTGCTCCTGCCACTACCGAGAAACCGCACCAGGGTTTCAGTGTGGGGTTTACTAACAGTCCGGTTTGCCGGGGGAGTTGAACTTTCACCGAACTTTTATTTTTTAGCGCATTTTATTTCCCCGCTGCCTCGCCTTTTTTTTTTTTTTTTCCTCTCTTTTTTTTTTTTTTAAATTCTTTTTTTTTTTTTTTTTTTCTTTTTCCCCATGCCAAAATTGGTTTCAAAGCTCCCAATTCAGATGGGAGCCATCAGGAATGTTTCTCCCAGGGTGTTCTTCCTTGGCTGGCTTGCATTTTTTCCCCATCACGCAGCATCCGCCTCAAGCGAGCAAATCCTCAGGTTTTTTGTTCTCCAGGGAAAAGAGGGTTACACAAATACACCCTGGCGAGAAATTCCAGCCACTGCCGGATCTCCCCGGGACGGGCCACAGCCGCGCAAGGTGCACAGCATAGCTCTGCCGAAATGCTTGCCTGTCTTGCAGAACAGTCATCTTTTTGCCTCTGAGATGAAAAGTGGGGAAATTCCACCTAGGGTTGTGTTTTTTTGTTTTTTGGTTTTTTTTTGGGTGGTAGTGGTGGTGGTGTTTTGTTTTTTGTGGGGTGGAACTTGAGCTGGAAGGGAAAAAAATTGAAAAAGTTAAACCTTTGGACTTTCTCCCATTACACAATCAGCTCTTTTGCGGTCCAGTTATCTGGATAGCGTGTAAGAAAAATCACTCTGACAAAACTATGATCTCACTGGCACCACGGAGATGTAGTGGGGTGACTCCTATGATGGAGTGTTGGGACAGAAGGATACCAGCTCTTTAGGAGGGCCAGGCAGGGGAGATGAGGAAGGGGGGTCACCTTCGAGATCAGTGACCTGCTGGAGTGCGGGGAGCTCTGCCTGGGGATGGGTCAGGATTAAAGAGAGGGCAGGGCCAGGAGACCTTATAGTGGGGGTCTGCTACAGGCCACCCGACCAGGAAGACCGAGCCGACGAGGCCTCTCTAGACAGAGAGGAGCAGCCTCACATTCACAAGCCCTGGTCCTCGTGGGGGGACTGCAACCACCCCCACATCTGTTGGAGGGACAACCCAGCCGGGCAAAAGCAATCCAGGAGGTTCCTGGAATGCCTCGATGAGAGCTTCCTTCTCCAAGTGACGGAGGAGCCAACGAGGAGAGGAGCTGTGCTGGACCTTGTTCTCACCAACAAGGAGGGGCTGGTGGGGAGTGTGAAGCTCAGGGGCAGCCTTGGCTGCAGTGACCGTGAAACGGTGGAGTTCAAGATCCTGAGGGCAGCGGGGAGGGCGCGCAGCAAGCTCGCCAGCCTGGGCTGCAGGAGAGCAGCCTGTGGCCTCTTCAGGGATCTGCTGGGTAGAGGAGCATGGGATAAAGCCCTGGAGGGAAGAGGGGCCCAAGAAAGCTGGTTGATAGTCAAGGATCACCTCCTCCAAGCCCAGGAGACCACGAAGATGCTCGGGGGGGCTGGAGCAGCTCCCCTGGGAGGCCGGGCTGAGAGAGTTGGGGGGGTTCAGCCTGGAGAAGAGAAGGCTCCGGGGAGCCCTTCGAGCGGCCTCCCAGGGCTTAAAGGGGGGACAGGAGAGGTGGGGAGGGACTCTGGGTCAGGGGGTGGGGGTAGGACGAGGGGTGACGATTTTAAACTGACAGAGGGCAGATTTAGATTTAAGGCAGAAATTGTTCCCTGTGCGGGGGGTGAGGCGCTGGCCCAGGGTGCCCAGAGCAGCTGTGGCTGCCCCCTCCCTGGAAGGGTTCAAGGCCAGGTTGGACGGGGCTGGGAGCCCCCTGGGCTGGGGGAAGGGGGCCCTGCCCGGGGCAGGGGGTGGCACTGGGGGGGCTTTAAGGTCCCTTCCGACCCAAACCAGTCTGTGATTCTGTGAAAAGAAAGACGAGGCAGAGATGTGGTGACTTGTTAATTTTTTCCTAGCCCTGAACTCCGAGCTAAGTAATCCTGGTGTGTGTTAGCAGGATATAACAGCCCAAGGCTTCAGGCGGGTTCCCTCCCTCCCTCCAAAATGCCATGACTCACCGGAGGCTGCGAATGATTAACTTCGGAGTGACTGATGCTTTTCTGAGCACTGCCCAAGGCAGAGGCAACTGCAGGTGAGATCCTGAAAATGGGTGGCAGGGCTCAGGTGGGGCTGCAGGAAAAAAAGCTGCTCGCCAGGTACAGAGCTCAGTGGATTAAAAATCTGGGTGCCAAGGGGGCTGCTGACCAGCTTGCTGGTGCCATCGTCAGCCCCAGGACCTGGAGGAAGGCAGTGAGGCTCCTCGGGTCCAAGGGGACCACCAGAGCCGTTGCTGACCCACTCAAGATGTGGATATTTGGGAAGCATCTTTGGTGACCACACTCGTGGCAGAGCGAGTCCTTGTGCACCCAGCCATGCCGAGGAATGGAAACCTGGTTTTCTCCTTGCAGAAGTTAGGGCCTGTTTATTCTGAAAGTAATTAAGCTGAAGCGTGATTTAAAGGAGAAGAAGAATTCCTGCTTGCTTCCTGGGTGGGTACTTGTATTACAAGCCCCAAAAGTATGCAGGGCCTTTTGTTTAACCAAAACCATGTGTTCTCTGCTCTAGATACCACTGACTTCAGCTGAAGTCATTTGGGTCCTTAGAGAACAATTAATTTTTTCACTTAGGTCAGAATAAGTGCTAGTCCACTGCATTTGCATATTCTGTGCAGATTCAGTGGGATGGGGAAGGACACAGTCCGTCCCCTCTTTGAAAAATGAACCTGATGCTCTTTAGGGAACGGCCATAAACTCAAGACAGGAGGAGGCTGGATGTGGAGCAAGGGGGACACAGAAGTGGAGATTCCCAGTTTGCCCCATAGTTTATACTGGGCCCTCAGACACATCTCAGCAGTGAGACTGACACTCAGCATTCAGATCCCAAGACCTCATCCTTCCCCTGTCAAACACTTGTTACGAAGCTGCAGTGCCTTCTCCGTCCACCTCAATCTCCCCATTTATAAAATTGGACTAAGAGAGTTATCTGTGCTGACAAACCACAGAGATAATGTTTTTACACAGCTCCAAACAAAGATGGCTTTGTGGCTGACCCATGGGTATTTAAGCTACTGAGCGAGGTCAGCGACGGTCACCCTCTCCCACTCCCCAGCCATCCCGAGGGGTGGGACACCCTGGTAAATACGTCATTCACCCGCCAAGCAAGAATTTCCACCCCAGCAGTGCTGACTCTTTCCATTTAAGGCTGATTTGTAGGGCCGGCTCTAGTCCTGGATGAGAGAGGGGTGTGTGTTTATCACCCAAGGCCAGGCCTCCTGGCAGGCACCAAGTCCTTATCGCCTGCAGCCTGCTCATCCCGCAGCTCCCTCTGAACCAGGAGCCCCCCAGCACCCGGGGAGGCTGCACCACAGCAGAAGCATCGGGGGTAAATTAAGCACACTGAGAAGAAAAGAGGACCCACCGTGGGTTTGGGATACCAAATTCCCTCCCTGCTTCCTCAGTTCCGTTGCACATAGAAAATGAAATGAGTGCAAGGGTTTTGAGCAGTGCTGTGGCTTGTCTCCTGCTCCCTCGCCGCGGGGAGAAGGGAGATTGGAGCCCAAACTGCCCACACAGGACAGCCATAATAAATGAAGCCCAGTCTTATCGGCCATGGTTAGTGGTTAAGCTCGTGCAAGCTGGCTGCCTCTGCGAAGCTCAACAGTTCAGACCCTTGAAATATTCGTGTCCTGTCTAATGCAGTGCCTGTTTGCTCACTGTCCATTTTTCAAAGAGATTGGGGGGGTGAAGGAGGCTCTAATCTCCCCTTCCAGAGCATTGCGCTTTTAACTGTGATCCTCAGCACACCCCGGGGAGGTGATGGGGTACGTGCCTATATGTATTATTTTTGAACATCAGCATCAGTTTTACCTTCAGCTTTTTGTTGCCTCTCATCTGTTTTTGTGCCTGGGAGGAATCTGAAGCCACCTGATAATTTTGACCTTCCCCCCGCCAGATAAACAAATGATTTGTCTCATAAATGTCAGGTTCCTCTTTAAAAGAGGGAGGAAAAGGTTTTGCAAGCAGTCTAGGCTGTGAACTTCATGAGAACAGAGCTCAACTCCCCTCTTCACCGCAGCCCCCTCCTTGGGCAAGCCTGGGCAAACCACCCAGTCCCTCAGTGCCTCAGTTTCCCCTCTGTGGCAGAGGGATGCTCACACTTCTGTTTTCACTCCCTTTGCCTGCCTTATCTTTGGGATTCAGGAAATGCTCGGGGAAAGCAGGTGGATCTCCTCATCTCTTCTCCCTTCATCTTTCCTGATGCAGCTTCCCTGCCTCTGAGCATGCAGCCACTGGACAGGGGAAAGGGTTAAACGCTTCTCCTTCCCCTGCCAACCCAGCAAGGGGAAATTTTAAACAGCAAATGTAGAGTCTACTCCCTTCCCTCCTCCCTTTCATCCCCTTGAACCAGGACTTAAAAGGAGCTCTGGGATGGAGAAGGGTGAGGGTGTTGCAGACTGTGAGCTGCAGCCCAATATCCAGACCAAGGTGCTTGCTGGCTTCAAAACTGAAGCAGAAACCTCTGGCTCAGCAGGTCTGCAGTTTGAAATGATCAATATTGCATAAAATCCAGCTTTCTACTCAACCTTGGAGAGTCCCATCCCGGGTTAAATCTCCACGGGGCAAAGCTAGGATGTTACAAACTCCTAGAAAAGCCTGTGGCCACCCCGCAAATACCTGCTCTCACAGCCCAACTGCTCCGGCGGCAGCAAGACCCGTGGCCGTGGCAGAGCAGAGCTGTCTCCTGCCAAACCACTGCCCAGCGGGACCAGTCTCATCTCCTGCCATGCGTAAGCCCCGAGTCTTCACGAAAGGACCGAGCTGCTGTTGTTATATCTCCTTGCACAGCTACAAAAGCAAATGAAAAACTGGCTTTGGGGGTTATGCAGAGGATGCCTTGAATCTCTTCCCCAAAGTTCTCAAAGCACATGGATACATTCTTCAGCCAATATATATTTTTAATTTCTATCTTGTATCACAGTTTTTTCCAGAGCTGAATTTCCATGAGGGTTTCTCACGTGGCAGGATCCTGTGGGAGCGGCATCAGACAATCGTTTGGCTCTTTTTATTGCTGAACATGTGATGCCCTGGACTAACAGCCTGCAGTGCCACAAGTTCAAGGCCGATTTTTTCAGGCATACACAGCCCCATGCGGTTCCTTTGAACAAGACTCGTGGTCAGATGCTGCTGTTCAGCTTCCTGAATGCAGTGTTTGCTTTGCTGACTGCCGCCAGAACGTGCCCTCCTTAGCAGGGGAGAGCCAGGCTGGTTTTTAGCAGAAGGGTTCCTGGAGATGTCAGGTCCTCGGGTATGAATGGCTTTACAGTTAGAAGGCGACATTATTTTGGGGCTAGCGCTCAAAGGATCAATATAAAATTTCAGCTTGACATGGAAAGCTTGGAAGAAGATAAAAATAGGCTCTTGCCTCTGCTGAGTCATCTCGTGATTTAAAACATGGATCAGGGTGTGTTTAAAGGCTGCTCTGAGACCTGCTGAATTCCCCACAGGTCTGGCCAGGGGAAGACAGCCAAGACGGTGTGACCAAACCCTCTGAATGGATCATGGATGGCTTTTATTTACCAGTATCAATGCTCTTTGTCAGCAGGGCTGCATTAAGGACAGACTCTGACAATGAATGTAAAAAAACTTCAATGAAAATGAAACCAGCAGCCACTCGTGGTTCCATGAATGCACCACAGCCCAAACAGGCTTCAGAACAGCTCAGCAGCCTCAGGAAACCCTCGTAACAAAAACACAGGGTAAACCAAGCTCCACGTCTTGTGTCTCTGAGGTCACAGCTTGGGTGATTTCTCCCTGATTTCTGGAGAAAGCCTGCGGGTACAAGGTGGTTCTTGCATCCCAGCAGCTACAGGGTTAAGCTGATGACTGCACAGCACCAGTCTGACTCAGAGCCTGCCAGAGGAATGGAAGCACAGGCAGACGGACCAAAGCAATCCTCCCCTCTGTGCCTCTCAGGGAAGCCAAACACAACTGAGGAACATGGAAAGTCCAAGCACACGTGTTGGGGGTGTTAATGGTTCTGTCTCCATCACACAAGGGCTGATTAACCCAAGTGTGCCCGTGACGGACAGGGCACCCCAGAGCTGAGGTCCCAGACACAGTTTGATTCCCGCCCTGCTCTGCAAGAAATATCACATATGGCGAATGCAGTGATACAGAAATACCCAGAACTTGGCAGCTCTGGCTTCAGCGAGAGCATTTGCCTCCCCTTTTTTCAGCAGCATTGAGCCTTGCTCTGGAAACATCAGACTTCGCAGGAAGCAGCTCCTCTCCTGCATCCCAACATTCATGTGATGCCCCTTGGGCAACGGGGGAGAATGGCAATCATGCTGCCAAAACCCAGAGAAGCAGCTGCGAAAGGACAGGAAAGTCAACATTTGTGGATGTTCGCTGAGACAGGAGCTGCTGCCACAACCCTCAGCAGCCCCGGCAAGGCCAGGCTGGAGCAGCCCCGGTGTCTGCCGGGGCTGTTCTCAGCACGTGCCCGTGGGACTGGGACTTTAGCGGTGCAGTTTCTCCCTCTTCAGATCTCCTCCAACGTACCAAGCACCAGCTGCCTGCAGCAGTTGGATTCCGCTCGCCACCGCTGTGCCGCTGGCTCAGCCCTGCATGATTTGTGGGGTTTGTGTGTGCGCAGCTCCCCTTCTGCCATCGATGACTGTACAACCCTGCCTTTGAAGCATTAGCGGGGCGATTTTTGCTCGGAAGGTGTGCTGCGGTGCTGCAGGTCCCTGGGATGACATGGGGGGGGGAATCTCCAGTCTCGGATGTTTGCAGCCAGGGCTGACCCTGCTGAACCACCACCACTTCTGTCCACCAAGAGCTCCTGTCAGGCTCTGCACCTTGCTGGGCCACAGCAGCAAAACGCAAACAGCCTTAGTTTTCACTTGGTTCCTCTGAATTCGAAGCACAGGTGGACTGTGAAGGCAAAAGCCACCCCTCGCCACATTAATCCTGTGTGGTTCACCACACAAAAAAGTCGATCCCCTTGGTGTTTTTGCCAGGGGCCCCCGCCCGCCTTCGCTCCAGCTTGGGTTTGAAGGACACTGCGGGGGGGGGTGTGTGGAGGCTGAGGGCCCCAGAGCAGGCCCACAGCCGCCTCAGCCTCCAAGACCGACTCCGGCAAGCAGGCGAGGAGGGGAAAACCCGTTCTCCCGTTCTGCAGAATAACATCACACCCTAACCACCCCCCCCGTGACGTCACCACATGACGTGTGTTTTCGGGGTGCGGGGCGGGAGGGGGGGGCTGGGGTTCGCTCCCCACAGTCGCTGCGACGCGCGGCGGGAAGGCGGCGGTACGCAGTGCGCAGGCGCAGGGCCGCACCACAGCAGGCGGGGGGGGGTGGCAGTGCGGAGCGGCCCCCACAAAGGCGGCGTGTGTGGGGGGGTGTGTGTATGTTTGGGGAGGCGCAGTGCGCATGCGCTGTGTGCGTCTCCCCGGCAGCCAGGCGGGTCCCGGCCGGGCGGAGGCCGCGGTGGAGCCGGGGGCTCGCGTAGATGTGCAGCCCGGGGCGGGCGCCGCCTGGGCCGGCCCCGGCGGGGGACCTGCCGCCCGAGTGGGAGACGGACGACGAGCGCATGGCTTTCCTCTTCTCGGCTTTCAAGCAGAGCCGCGAGGTGAACAGCACCGAGTGGGACAGCAAGATGGCCTTCTGGGTCGGGCTGGTGCTGGCCCGCGGCCGCCGCCGGGGCGCCGTCCGTACCTGCCTGCGAGACCTCCAGCACGGCTTCGAACGGCGCGGCAGCCTCCCGCTCGGCCTCGGCACCGTCCTCCGGGAGCTCCTCAGGTACCGCCGGAGACGGGCCGCGGGCTGGGCCTGGCAGCCCTCCGGCTGCGGGGTCTGGAGCCCCCCGGGGCCCCCTGTGAGGGCAGGGAGGCCTGAGGAGGGGTGGTTGCGGAAAGAAGGGGGCCTAAGGGGGGCTTTGCGCCATGGATGCGGGCACGGAGAGCTCCGTGTCGTGTCAGCCTGGAAGATGCCCGCTGTGGGCATGGTAGGGAGAGCACGGCTGGATGCTGGACAAACGGAGGGGTGCAGGGGGACGTGAGGGAAAGCTTGGCGCTCTTCTTGGGGAGGTGGTCGGGCCTGCGAGCGCGGGAGAGGGTTTTGTTGCTGTGGCAGGGCTTGCAGAGGAGAGCACAGAGAGACCCAAAGGAATAGGGGGTTGCGTTGTACAGGGGGGAAATTGGGGAGCCCTGTGCAAGGTAAAGCATAGAAAGGAGGAGCTCATTCTGAGGCTAGCAGGAGGCTTGGGAGGGCAGTGAGCCGTAGGGAATGCTCCCCAGGGGAGTCCTGGGCAGGGGGGGCTTTGTGTTGAGTTGTGCTGTGTTCCGTGAAACCGTTGTTGTGATGACCCAGCTGCGAACGGTGTGCGGTGGTGTAGGGCACGTGGGGATGTTGGGTGCGCTGGTGTTTGCAACCAAGTGTTTTGTGTTGTGAAACTGGAGCCTGGGACTGGTACCCTGAAAAGATTCAAGAACAGCAGGAGCTAGCAGAGTCCGTGTCTCTAACAGAAAATAAAATCTCTGCATCAGAGAAAAGTTATGTTTGCAATTTTAACGCACAACTGAAGTATCCTGAAATGTGCAACTGCCCCCTCTAAAACCCGACCCTTCCCATTGATTTTCTTGCTCGATGCCACATCAGTTTCAAGTCAGAAAACTGGGAGAAACTTGTGAAACTGGAAAAACAGTGAACAGAAGACCCTTGTGTCCAGGGGAAGCTGGTGAGGAGTGGACACCTCTAAACACTTTCATGCCCAGTAGCAACACATCAAACTTTAGCTAGAAGCCGGTGTTAGAAGACACTAGTAGGACTGTGGATGTGCAAAGCATAGAGCAGTGTTTCAGTTAATAATTATCCATGCTGGCATTCTTGCTCACTGCCCATGGAAAGATTTAGACTGGCTGTATTCAGTTTTGCACGCATGTCTTTTCTCTAGACGCGGCAAGCTGCAGAGGGAGTCAGACTTCATGGCCAGTGTAGACAGCAGCTGGATCTCCTGGGGTGTGGGAGTCTTCATCCTGAAGCCCCTGAAGTGGACTCTCTCCAGCGTGCTGGGTGACAGTAAAATACCTGAGGAAGAGGAAGTTCTGATTTATGTGGAGCTGCTTCAGGTGAGTGTTGAGAGCTTTCTCAAGATTATGCATCTCCAGAAAAATCACGAGTCATTTTATGTGCTAGTGAGGAAGGATTTGGGTTGAATAGACCTTCATTTGTATTCCTTAGATGTTAAAAAGCCTGTAGGAAGATGGATGGAATAGCTCAGGGCTTATATCTACAGATGTTCCTTGAAACTAACGTAATGGCTTTTCATGACTTCCAAGAAATGGCAGGGTTGCTTGCTTACCTAGAAAGGCAAGTAGTATGCTGTGAGACCGCAGTAAATCTCAGGTTTGAGTTTGTGCAAGTGTAGTATACAAGAGAAACTTGCAGATTGAGTGCCATCTGTCGTAGGGGGAAACGGATGATGAAGTCACTGGCTGTCAGTCCAGTGTATCGTCGAGCTGAACTCACATGTGCGTTATTAAAGGCTGCTTTCACTTTGGAGTGTGTACTTTCATCTTGCCTTTTCAGACCTGATTAGAACTGCCCTTGGATCCTGTCAAAGACCCTTTTCTTTGGCACATTGGTAGTGGTAGACCTGTGAGTTGTATTGGGAATTCATGTAACTCATTGTTACTCAGTCTGACTTGGTCGCTGCAGTGCTGACAGTCGAGACCTTGGGTCCTTCTCTGTGTTACTCTCTGACTGTTAAAAATAGCACAGAGGCTTGCTGCTGTTGCATGCAAGTGGTGTCTAAATGACTGGGACTGGCAGAAATGCAAGAGCTCTGTCGATGTGTTCCTTTATTTGTAGTTAGTCTGATAGCAGACAATGTCTTCCCTCTGCAGTGGGTATTCTGCAGCTCTTTCAGAGGGTGAGTGCAGGGGAAGGGAGTGAAACATTTTAAAAAGGTGCCTGGAGAGCCATAAGCCTTGATGTGGAATCTGGGGGGTGGATGGAAAGAGTTGTTTGTATAGTCTTAAGTGGGCCATAACTCTCACTTGAAATGGGGAAGACTTTTCTTTTTCCTCTGCCCACATATGAATGATGCAAAATGACTCGGTGAGCACAATCACAGTGGGATTAAAGAAAAGCTTTTACTGGGTTTAAACTTGGTGGGGGGGGTGGGGGGTGTGTGTGTCATGGATTTCCAGAAGTGAGAGGGAAGCCAGCTTGCTGCCTGCATAGTTCTTTATGTTGTTCCATATCATTTGCACAGGGAATGTGAACGGTGTAGTTTTGGTTCTCATGGAAGACAGTATTATTTTTCATTCCATTAAAGGTGATGTTTTTAAAGCACTGTAATTGCTTTTGAATGTTAACACTCAATTCATTCTGAAAGTCTGTCCGGCCCAAAATACGATGTGTCGAACTTTTTACCTTCAGTGTGTGGGAGGAAGCAGGTGTGGACTTGGCAGTTGTGAGAGAAGGAAGAGGGCTGTGTAAACTAATAGGCAGCTCTGTTGCTTCCTTTCAGGAGAAAGCAGAGGAAGTTTATCGCCTATATCAGAACTCTGCGCTTTCTTCTCACCCTGTTGTTGCCCTCTCAGAGCTGCGTTCCCTCTGTGCCAGTGTTTGTCCAGATGAAAGGACGTTCTACCTGTTGCTTCTCCAGCTGCAAAAGGAAAAGAGGGTCACGATCCTGGAACAGAATGGAGAGAAGGTACAGGGTAAAGGTGACTGCTTTTGGGTGGTTTAATCCCTGTCTTGCATTTCATCTGGCTGGAAAGAATACTTTATTGGCTAAATATGTATATTCTTTGTTTGAAAGAGGAAATTCAATGTACTGCAACTTTGTAACCTGGTTATAGATGAGATTAAATCCTCATTCTTGCGTGACAGGTTCTTCAAACATTTGTAATATTACCTATGTAACATAGCAGCTAGAAAATTGGCAGGTACTGTAGTTGTCTACCTGCAGGTTGACTGTTCCCTGCTACCTAAATTAAAACCATTCCACACCACTGGAATCAGTGTTCCACTTACTGTGAAAAGGTTTTCTCTGCCTGTCAGTAACTAGAGATGCAGGCACTGTCATCTCTAGGATGGCATGTTTCCTGGTAGTGTTCTGTGCTGTACAGTTCAGTGCTGAAGTCCTCAGCAGTGTGACGTTGCCGTCTGCTGTTCAGAGCACTAGGACAACTTTAAATCTTTAGGATATTTCATTAAGGCTTTCTGTTTTCACACTGATGTTACTTGATCCTGTCTAGTTTAATATTAGGTTATATGGTGTATATATTGTACGGTATGTCCTCATCACTTGATTACAAGGCTTAAACTGGGGATGTAAAAGCACCTTTTCCTTCATTGGAGTGAAAGTATTTCTAGTGCAGGCACAGATTTTAGAGACCAGTGACTCGAGCATGTGGTTCTCTTTCTTTAGATAGTGAAGTTTGCCCGAGGTCTTCATGCCAAAGTCTCCCCAATGAATGATGTGGACATTGGAGTATATCAATTGATGCAAAGCGAACAGCTGCTGTCACAGAAGGTGGAGTCCCTTTCCCAGGAAGCAGAGAAGTAATTTGGGGAAGGGTGGCGGGAAGAATGTCTGTGTGATGTAGAGCTTTGTACTCCTGTGACATTGTTAGAACGAAGCTGCTTTCTGAAAGTGCAAGTCGTTCTTTCCTGTTGAGTAAACATCATAGCCACAGTCATGTAGTAGGTCAGGTTTTCCAGTCTTTGTTCGCTATCCCCATGAAAACAACATGCAGTGAACAGCTGTCAGAAGTTGGTGCAAAAATTTGAAATGAATTCAAGGACGACTGAAAAGCAACAATGGCTTAAGGGTGGTTGTATCCAAAATACTTTGTTTACTTGGTCACCTCTGGATTAGAGCAAGGTAGTGAGGATGGTTGCTGATTTGTAAAAGAACTACTGCTTGCAAAGGAATAAGCTTTGTTTCCTTCTTGCATCTGTACAGGTGTAAAGAGGATGCCCGGAGTGCTTGTAGAGCTGGGAAAAAGCAATTGGTAAGTACTGTTCTACTTGGGAGAAACTAGAATTTAAGTGTGGTGGAGCTGGTCCAATAACTGTAGATAATGGTCAGGGTTAGACACTGTATGCTTCATCTTAGATGTGTTGAAGTGGTGTTTCTGAGGCCAAAGGTCTCCTTAAGGCGAAGATAAGAATACACTTGTCCAGGGTGAGGTGGTGAAGAGAAATGGACATATCTAGCTCTGTAAGCCAGCTCTGTGTGTGTGCCTTGCTGCACAAGGATTGCTATTTTTTGTACACTTTCTTTGGCTGCTGCCTGGTTTGTGATCCAAGTCTGTGCATCTGATGTCTCCAGGCACTGAGATGTTTGAAGTCCAAACGAAGGACGGAAAGGCGCATTGAAGAGCTTCATTCCAAGCTGGATGCAGTGCAGGGGATCTTGGATCGTATATACGCCTCCCAGACTGACCAGATGGTAGTGTGTTAATTTTGTCTTGTGCTTCTCACTCTAGCCCCGTTTTTCTCATTTGTGCTGCTTTACCTGCTTGTCAGAGCTTGTGTCTGAGCGGTGTAAGCTGGCTGGTGGGACTTCATTCTCTGCTCTAGGAAACAGCAAATTTGCTGTTAGGTTATTGCTCTGAATAAACCTGGTTGTGGCTCTGTTTTCTGCTTGTATGCTAATGTTTCTCTGAGGGTCCTGCTTGGATAATGAGGCTTGAGAGAAGCTTACACTGCGTGTTGTTTGTTCTTAGTTAACATTTTTTTTTTTTTAAAGGTATTTAATGCCTATCAAGCTGGTGTGGGAGCTCTGAAACTGTCTATGAAGGATGTTACCGTGGAGAAGGCAGAGAACCTGGTGGATCAGATACAAGAGGTATGAAATAAGAGCACATCTAAATAAAGAAGTGGTGTGTAGATGTACAAAGCAAGCTTGCTCAGCTATGAATGCTGAGACTTCTGGTGCTGTTTGGTTTCTATTCCACATGTCACCAGAGCAACCTGACTTGATCTTTTTAGATCAGCAAGCAGAGGTCTTCGGGTAACCAGCTGTTTGATTTTACATATTTGCATTTATTGCTGGCTAGTAATGACAACTTAGGTTAAATATGTGCATTTCATGTGTTCTTTCGGTTAGCAATATTGTGCAAGCACACAACTTTCCTAGAAAACGTTTAGTGCGATCTATTAAAAAGAAATACAAGTCATGCCTTTGGAAGCTGGAATGCAACTATGTGCATAAAAACAGGGTCTTAAAAGTGCCTAACCCATAATCTTCTGCGGTAAGGGAAAGGAGTTGAGTTTATTCTGAGGGAATTGAAATGAAAAGAGCAATCTGTCTGCATAAGCTGGTGTAAAAAACAGGAAAGGATTACTTTTTTAGCAACTTCAGCTCCGTGTACTTAAATAGTGACTTTAACTAGTGAGTTGAGGGGCTGTCTGTAAAATACCATAGCTGAGATGTATTGGTCTATTAGCTTCCTTATTTTGTTAGTCTAAGCCACAATATAAGCTTGTTACTTGTGTGAAAAAGTTAAATTAGGGGGACTTTTTTTTTTTTAACTGTGAAATGCTGTTTCAGGTTTGATCCTCAAACGTGCTACTTTGTCTTACAGCACTTTATTAAATAATCTTCCATGTTGCTGCTTTCACTAGTGAAAAAACAGTCACGTTGGAAGACTTTTTCTGAACTAGTACCTGCTGACTTTATTTTTAAATATTTTTGCTGCCCTGAAATTTTTTGTTTTTTTTTTTTTTTTTTTTTTATTTCTACTTGTGATATAGGTGTCTACCATAAGATGTAAGATTAGCTTATCTTCTATATCAAACACTGTGTATTTTTCCTCAGCTTTGTGATACTCAAGACGAAGTAGCCCAGACTCTGGCTGGAGTGGGGATCAATGGTCTAGGTATGTTTTGGGGTTTTCATCCTTTGCTCATTTTCTGTTGTCACTGCCCTTTTGTGCTTCCACCCCTCCCCTGCTCCTTCCCCCTGTATGCCTAGTCCTCCTTCCTGGGCGGATAAGCACTTACAGAAACACCAAGGATATTGCTACTGGTGCCTTGTAGGGGGATGACGACTAACAGGTTTTTTCTGACAGTGAGTTGCAGAGGAATCAGCATTTGTGCATCTCCAAAGTCTTGTAGTTTAAGTGCTGGTGGATTTCAGTTGAGAGTTGTGTAATGTTGATCTAAAGCTATTTTTAGAGTGGCTGCCGCTTTGTTTTTTAAGTGATGATCTTTTTCCTCTGGCTTGGGTGTTGCTGCAGCTTGTTTGTCTCTGCTGAAATGTTTTCTTGCCCTTAAATGCCTGAGTGCAAAGGCATCTAAAGGAATAGCTTCTCCCTGAGATCAGGACTGAATTTTCACCTTTAGAAGCAGCACAGGGAGTTCCTTATTATGTGTAATGATGAATGGGATTAATAATACCTCTGTTAAACTTGGACTTCTGTCTGTGCTGTGAAGATGCTACTTGATTCTGCTTGGAACTGAATGTTTTCTTTAATCAGCAGAGATGGACACTGAGGAACTGGAGGAGGAGCTGGACAGTCTCCTCCAGGACTCAGCTAAGGAGCCTGTAGATCTGCCTCCTGTTCCCCAGAAGGTGCTGAATCCACCCATTTCTGATGCTGAGCTTGAAGCTGAATTGGAAAAGCTCTCTGTTTCTGATGGAGGTATGGATGTCAGCTAGCTGCTGTTAGGATCTGACCCTTGCAAAATGAAAGATGTCTAGCAAAACTGAAGTCTGAGCTAGAATCTTTCCTGCTTCCAGTTACACAGTTGAAAGCAAGCTCTCCCACTATCCCTGCCCGGTGCTCGGTGGCACTGTCTTTCACTACCAGAATCTGTCTTGAGAGAACCACCCTCTTTGCTAGAAGTTCTGCCTGGACTTTTTGCCATGGGGTATAGGGAAAGTTGTAGGCCCTGTGAGGGAGCTAGTGCTTGAACTAGTTATTTTTTTGTCATGGTTTAACAAAGACTGTACAAAGCCAGGCAGTGTTTTTCGTATGTTCTGTTAACAGTGATAAAGTAGACCAGCATTTTCATGTCTGTTGCTGCCAAGCATGCAGCATCTTCTCTGTCCTAGAATGCTGACTACATCTTATGTGTTATAGGTGTGATGTCTGCTTAAACTAGTCTTTATTTAGTAACAGTGGGTGACCAGATCTTATGGGCTTAAACTGCATGCCGAGTTTTCCCTAGATCTGTCTTGGACAGGGGTAAATAAACTCTAATTTTCCTTTCAGGAATCTGTTAATGAACAATTACACAGGGCTGTCCATATAGTTTTCTATCTATTTGGGCAGCTAATATGTTTCAGAGCAGAACAATGCTCAGCATCCCTTATTAGACATGAAGCATGTGTTTTCCAAGAGAATGGAATTGAATATTGAAGCACTGAGGTGCTCTGAAATGGTATTTCTTGGTTACGGACATGGTTGATCTAGTCCATCTTACTGATGAAAACTGATCTCTTCCTGTTGCAATTTTCTTTACAGATTTGGCACAAAAGACTCCCTCTGCTTCCTCTGAACCCAAAACAGCTCTGGGACTGAATCTCTAAAGACCCAACAGTGTCCTGTTGCTGAAGTTTGAGAAGTTGTCTTAAGATTCCTTAACTAATGACTAGAACTTCTGGGGAGAGGGGTATCGCTCCTCTGTTCTTCATGGATATCACTTTGCTCAGCAACAGGATCTCCTGCCATGACAATCCACTCTGGAACTGGCCCCAGCTGGTGTTTGTCATCCTTGTGCCAACATCTGCACTGGTCTCAATCTGACTTGTGATCCCAAGTCACTCTGCGACATCCAGTCTTCCCTTCTGGGAATGCAGTTCACTATTCTGCCCAGTGAAGATAAACTCTTCTATGTCCATAACAGTGCTCGGGGTTTTTTTTTTGGGTGGTTTTTTTTTTTTGTTTTGTTTTTTGTTTTTTTTTTTCTTCCCCTTTGCTGTGGCTGATGTTGAGAATCTGAGTTGCAGCAGTATTGCAGTTGCTCAACATTTGGCTGTTTGTGTGGTTGTTTAAAACACTTGGCACATAAATACTGTTCTTGACATAACTTATCTGCAACGAGCTTAAACACCTGTTGATAGTTCTATCCCTCCCTGTCTGTATTTTGCACGGTCGTGGACAACTAGACACTGTAACTGTTAAATTGTAGGAGATTTTGTTGCTGCTCTAGGGGGCAGCAATTGCAAGCACAAGACAAAAGTAATTCCTCTTTCTGTAATGTCACTAAGGCCTTAAAAGGGAGACCTGCAAAAGATTTTAAATTAAGGAGTTTCTTACGCTTCCTGTTGTAACAAAGGCTTGCTGTCACTATAATACAATTTTCTGCTTGCTGCTACTTGAAATTTGAACTGCTTGCTATTTTTGTATCTTCCCTGTTTGCAAAACTTCTTGGGAGCTGCAGGGTGATCTGCTTTGACCTCTTGTATTGAGTGATTTGGGGTGGGAGAATGGATGCGTAGTTTTCACTTTCAGAGAGGACAGTTTTGTGTAACAGCCTTGCCTTTGCCTTCAGTCTTGATGTTGCAATTCCCCAAGATCATGGGTTACCAGAAAGCCCCAAACCAAAACCCTGTAAATGTTTCTAATTAAAAAAAAAACAAAACAAAACAAACAAACAAAAAAAAAAAAAAACACAAAAAACCCACCAAGCCCAGGCACAGCAACTGAAGATTTTTTTTTAGAGGCTGTCTTTACCCATCAGAAGCAAAATCATCATCTTTTGCAGGTCACTTTTTTATTATGTGTATGCACATGGAAGAGCAGAAAGCCTGATAACTAACATGAATAAATGAATTTTCAGGAGGGGAATGTGCTGTTAACTGGGCTTACTGCACACAGAGCCTGTGCGTGGCAGGGGACTGACTAGCTACGTGTTGATGTATAACCAGTCCTCCTCCCTCTGCACCTCTCCCTAACTCGGAATGTATTCCTGTCACCATTTCTGTGCTGCCTCCTGTACCACACTCCATCGCTCCAGCCATGCGGATGGCAGCTTGGGTGAATGGAAAACCAGGGCTGGAGTTCCCATGTCCTGTTAATTATTGGCGACCCAGCTTTAGCCTCAGAGGAGAGGGGAAGAAGTTACAGGTGTCTCTAGGGTGCTGTGTTGGCTCTGGCTTCTTTTGTTACTAGTGCAGGCTCCTGCCAGAGAAGATGTGCTGTAGCCAGCTAGCAGTTTGCCCAGGCTGCACACGGAATTGTGTGAAATGACTTGAAGCTCTGTATTCCTTGCCTTTGTAAGTAAAGGGGAGAAAAACCACTGTGTTTTCTGCCTACGTGTAATAAAGGGGAGGAACCAGAGTTCCTTGTGGTACCTCCTTTTCTCTGTGCCACAGATCACTGCCATGTTTGTGTTCCAGCTGTGCTGCTGCATCTGTAAAACTTGTCTGCTGGAAGTAAATGGGCAGATTCCTGAGCTGCTTTGTCAAAAAACAAACTGAATAACTGCTGTACTAGGCTTTAATTTTCCCGAGCCTTTTTTCTGTGTTTAAAAAAAGCCCAACAGTTACTGTGTTGAACTTTTTAAAATCGTCTGGTTTTACCAAGTAGCCTGTAGTGGCTTTTGCTTGTGGCACCTTGATTTTATGAGTGTACTTTTGGAAAAGCTTGCTTCTTTTTCTTCACTTCAGCCTGTCTTTCCACTTCTTCATCATCCCTGTGCACCTCACAAGCTAGTGCAGTTTCAGGGCTCACGCCCAACAGTTCTTTGCCTCAGCCACCTTGCTGTGGCCATGGTGAAAACCACTATACCAGGAAGTCAATTCTAACTGATCCCTTGGTTTTGTACTAAACAATACATAAGCCTTATTCCAGGACAGTTTTTGTCCAGCTTCTTGTTCTTATTGTAATTAAGCAGTGCAGCCAAGGAGACTGGTACTGGTTTTTTCCTCTGTGTAAAGACAATCTAAATGGAGTAACCTGGTGTATAAACTACTCAAAACAAATTACTCCTGCTTTCCTCTGATACCAGGATGCCTGAAGTAAGCTTTGAACTTGCAGGCAGTCCAGCCTGCACAAGAGGTTTGATCTGAACTGGCATGCTGATCCCTGGAGAGCTACTGTGGCGGTGTTTCATTTTGTTTTTTGCAAGACTCAGGTCTTATCTACAGATTTTTTTTTTTTTTTTTAAAGGATCTGATTACCCCTCATTTCTCCCCTGCTATCAGAACTTGTACTTTTCTGGAAGTAAAGTACAAAGTGATTCCTGTAGGAATAAATGCTCTCCTGTAATTCTGTAAGGCATCTGACACAGACAGCCATTCTGGAAGAGACATTTAAGAGTTAAACCCAAGCAGCTGCTGCTTTATTTGAAGTGGCTTGTAATTTTCTTCTTTGATGCAAAGTGGGGAATGTAATCAAGATGGCTGAATAGAGAATTTTAAGTATATTTTGGTGAGACAGCAGGGAAGGGAAATAGAGGATAGCTTCTTGCTGGGTGAGGAAATTAAATATAAAAACCTAGAGCTGAATTGCCACCAAAATGGAACCTTATCATATTTGAGTGCTGTTTAAAATAGTACTTAACTTGATTTTCAGAAAAAAATAGCAGGTGCTTATGTGAGGAAATGTAGCAACTGTTTAGTAATATAATGCAGCAGAACAGTTTTCTCAGTAGAGAAGATTGCATCTAGCAGGCAGGAGGAGTTAATCTGTGAACAGCAGTAACTAACTGCCTGTATTTTGTTTGAGTAACTGCATTTTGTTTGCCTACGACAGCGGAGTTAACAGTCCTTTCTTTATTAGGTGTATTCTGGGACGCACAGAAATTTGGTAATGTACTGGGTCCCTTCCCATCCCATCTTCCTCCCCTGACAACCCAGCTTTGAATGTCTGCTTCAGTATTAGTTGTGTGCAAGGCTGAGATCCTTTCTTAAATGTTTTTAAGCTCCTAAGGTGGAGGAAGGCTTCCCTGTATCTCGAGGAATGGTTTCCTGGAATGCCTCCTGGCTCAGCGTGTGTGACCCAAGTGTGCCATGAGCTGCCAGTCCGAGCCTCTGCCGTGATTTAACGCTGTATGACAGGTCACCTGCCGTCGCTGCTCTCTTGAAGCACAGGGAAAGCATCCTGTTTGTGTCTTGCAACTTAAATCTCAAAAAATAACTTGTACCCTGTCGAGGGAATATGAGGAAGAATGTCCTTCAAGGCACAGAGGACAGTGCATCTGCATGCATCCGTGCAGTGCCAGGGTCCTGTGGTGTCTGGGCAATTAGGTGGCCCTGCTTTTCCTCTGATGAAATCCTGGGAAGGAGGGAGGATGCTGGCCTGGCACAAGAGACCCGAGGGGAAGGGAAGGGCCATGAGCCGGCTGCTGGTGCCATCTAGCTGCTCTTCCTGGCATAGGCACTTGGCAGGAGCAGGCTGCAGACGGTGGAACTAATGAGGCTTAATTAAACAAAGCCTTCAGAAGTAAATGCTGTGACATGCTGGCAACAAGTTTCTTTAACCTGCCACAAAGCAAGCGTGCTGTTTACTTTAGGAGGAAGCTTCTTGGTGCTATATCTTCAAAAGAATAATTGTGCTCTTAGTTGAGAGTTGTTCTTGAGCAGTTCCTGCTCTATCTGGGTTTATGCAAAGCCTGGGTGGCAGGGTCAAGTTAATTAAATCTCAGTGCAGCTGAGCTGACTCTCTGCAGATTGGCTGCTGCTTTCTTCGGAAGTGGTCTATGTGACAAGCAAAGGCAGAGGTCATCGTGATACACTACAGCAACTATCAGTGTAATGAGCGAATTAATTGCCTGGTTGTTTTTTTCAGTTTGATTTGGAAAGCTTTTGCTGCTCTTTTCCACCTTGGGCAGTTTACCAGCAAAGCATTTCTCAAAAGCAGGTCCCCATTTAGGCAGCTGTTACAAAGCTGGCTCTCAAGGAAACTTGTCTCCTGAAGGATTATTCTGACATTTCTTGATCAAAGGAGCCCTTTTGCTTACAGAGTGGCTTTAGCTACAAAGTGATGGATTACAAGTGCTTCTAAGGCTAAACTGTGCCTTAGTAAGTCAGACCTGGTTCCTAATACTGTGGTGTTTTTCCCCTCAATGTGAGAGGGGGAGAGTCATGCAGAGACATTTGCTTGTCAGTTTGAATAGAGAGCTTTATGGGGTAGGAAGAGCAGTAGTTTTAGGGGGAATATCCCTGCTCATCCCTCCGGAGCTGCCCCCAGTTCTGTGATTTCACAACGCCTGTGGTAGCTGCCTTTTGGTCCCGGCAGGGCAGCGGGCTGGGGCTGCTCAGCCCTTGTGCGAGAAGGCAGAGCTACGCTGTGCCTCTGGAGGAATGGTCGGTGAGGGGAGTGGGGACACCTCTTGGGGTGATCACTCTTTGCTGACAGGGTTGGGTACTGTGCTGGAAAAACATCCCGATTTTCTGGTTAACATTCTCAGCTGTCAGTTGATCGCTAATGTGGAATTAGCTAGGAATTAAAGAGTGATGAACTTGAAAGAGAAGCTACCTTATATCACTTCACTGAGAGTACTCATGTTTATTCAGGATAAAAAAAAAAAACTTATCAAAGTGATGTTCAGTATCCTTTTTGGTTCTACACATAACCTCTACAGAAAGACTGTCTGAAAACTGCTGTCTGATACTCTCAAAAAGAATAAAACCTGGTTTTTTTTCCTTCTTTATTTTTTTCTTCCCATGGATTTAAGGAATTTTGCAGTGGAAAGTAAATGCCTGTTTTGCACCACTTGCAGCTGGGCAGCTCGGGATGGGGGGGTGGAGAGTAACTGGTTCAGGGTCATCGGAGCCATGGCTCAATGCTTGTGCAGTGAATTCGGGGGGTCTTATTCAGAGATGAAGGACACTAAATTTCCATCCTGATTTGCACTGAAGACCCTCAAATCCCACTTGAATGTTTGTTATTTTACCCCTACAACCCTATTGTCTAATTCCCAAGCAACTTACCCTGTCAGCTGCAGACTCCCAATGCCGTGATGTTCTTAGCTTGCAAAGAACCAAACTGGCGAGGGGGGACTTGGTGTGCGGGCAGAGAAGGATCTCACCTGTGTGAAATCCAGAGGCAATTAGCAACAGAGGGAAGAGCAGACAGCAGAGCAGCCTGTTCTATGAGCAGAGAAGGTCCGTCTGAAAGAGCAGAGAGCTCAGATTCCCCCTTGTCTCTGGCACAAAGTCCCAGCCTGGCCAGTGCAGAAGGGATTGATTGGGATTCTGTAGCCGGCACCAGATCAACAACGGACGAAGAGCTTCTGAGAAAGGAGAGGGAGGAAGGCTTGCAGCAAAAGCCCTCCCAGCTTGTTCAAGTGCCGGAGGTGAGTGCCAGCTCTTTGTGAGTGGCAGGCTGCAAAGAAAGAAAAGTGGGGTGGGAGGCAATAGGGGGAAAAAAAACAAACGCCACGCTGTCAGCAGCAGATTTGCAAAGGAGTGAGAGCTTCAAGGACTTTTCCTGGTGCTGGGTCGTCTGGCTGGGCATGAGAGCTGGGAGGAATGCAGTTGGTGCATCTGAGATGTCAGCAGAGCAGTAAAAAGGGGTTTTGGATGCTGATGGGTACTTGAACAGCTGTGAAACCTCTCGAGGGACTGGAACAAAGGGGAACCCATGGATGGTTTTTACTCCTCCGCAGAAGGAGATGGGCAGGATATGATCAATGACACCAGCAGTAGGAAGAGCTGGGCAGAGGAAAGCAACTCCAAGTTGTCCTCCCGTGTGGTGACAGCTGCCTTACTTCTCCTCCTCATCCTCTCCACGCTCCTGGGCAACACCCTTGTGTGTGTGGCTGTGGTCAAGTTCAGACACTTGCGCTCTAAGGTCACAAATTTCTTTGTTATCTCCTTGGCAGTGTCTGACCTCTTTGTGGCTGTACTGGTGATGCCCTGGAAGGCTGCCACCGAGGTGGTGGGTTTCTGGCCCTTTGGGGCTTTCTGTGATGTTTGGGTGGCTTTTGATATCATGTGCTCCACAGCCTCTATCCTCAATTTGTGCATCATCAGCGTGGACCGTTACTGGGCCATTTCCAACCCCTTCCGCTATGAGAGGAAGATGACACAGCGTGTGGCTTTCATCATGATCGGAGTGGCTTGGCTACTGTCCCTCTTGATTTCTTTCATCCCTGTGCAGCTGAAGTGGCACAAGGATCATGAGTTCCTTAGCCAACAGGAGCCAGGTTTTAATGTCACTGGGGAGGAACAGGACTGTGATTCCAGTCTCAGCAGGACTTACGCCATCTCATCTTCTCTCATTAGCTTCTACATCCCTGTTGCCATCATGATTGTGACGTACACCCGCATCTTCCGCATTGCCCAGCGGCAGATCCGCAGGATCTCCTCCCTGGAGAGGGCAGTGGAACATGCCCAAAACTGCCACAGCAGCGACTGCCCTCACGAGGTCTCCCTGAAGAACTCCTTCAAAAAGGAGACCAAGGTCCTCAAGACCCTCTCCATCATCATGGGCGTCTTTGTCTTCTGCTGGCTGCCCTTCTTTGTGCTCAACTGCATGGTGCCCTTCTGTAATCTTGACCTGCATGAGCCAGGAGAGCTGCCTTGTGTCAGCGAGACTGTCTTCAACATCTTTGTCTGGTTTGGGTGGGCCAACTCTTCCCTCAATCCTATCATCTATGCCTTCAGTGGAGACTTTCGGAGAGCTTTTGCAACCATCTTGGGCTGTGGCTGCCTTTGCCCCAGCAACGCAGTGGAGACCGTGAACTTCAGCAATGAGCTCGTCTCCTACCACCATGACACCACGTATCAGAAGGAAGTGGTGACCCTCAGCTACCCCCAGCCTCTCCCCCACGCTGCTCTGCAGCTGGAAAACAACCAGGTGTCCCCTGACAAGGTTTCTCAGGTCTCCGAGCCCTCTCGCAACACCTACCCTGTGGATGCCTTGCCTGCAGTCACGCACGTGGAGTGTGAAATGGCTCTGTCGCTGGAGAAGATTACACCTTTCACCAACAACGCGTTTGATTGAGGCGGGGTTGGAAACGGGGTGGTGGGATGGCCTCGAGGAGAGATGGAAGCACGGACACTACTGCAGTTGCCTGTTTTCTGAGGAATTTTGAGGATAATGTGGATATTGTACTCTGGGCAGAAGTTTACATTAATAAGTGTGGAATAGCCAGAGTGATTTTTGAGGTGGCTCAAGGGGTTCAGAGACCTGTTTTTGTAACTCGCAGTTTCAGATCCGGCCCGGGTGGGCAGCAGAGATCTGTGTTGCTGCTCTCTCTAGTTGACCCGTAGAAAAATGCTTTCTGCAAAAGACAAAAATGCAAGGGCTCGAATTCTGCTTTGCTTGCGACTTCAGCTGAGAAAGCAAAGACTTGTGTGGTCCGCTGAGCCTCTCCTCTGTAGTCAGTGAGGTAGAAACGTGGCTGTGCTTGTGGGGAGAGAGGCTGGTTTTGCCACTGCCCGTGTCCCAGAGGCCATTAGCCCAAGGCTGCTAAATGGGCACGAGCCAAATACAGCTGCTTACTTGGTGATAACTGCTGCTGGCAGAACTAGATAACCCTGCCTTGTGCTCAGTGGGATGGTGCTGTGCTGCACAGCAGCTTTCAGCTGGGGAAACCCACGTTTCTGGTGGGCTGTGCAGGAAGGAGGTAGTGGCCTTGCTAGGATAACTCTCTTAGGCTCACTTCTGACTGCCTCTCTGTTGCTCAGGCAAATTCTGCTGCAGGTCTGGACAGGTACGCAGCCACCTTTCCTGCAGCCCTGAAGCTGTGCTGGGCAGCAGCTTGTCTGGAGCGTGTTTCAGGGAAGGATTCGGTGTGCTAAAGGTCTGCACTGGCCCCTGGAGCAAGAGTCAGCCTCCCTCTAAGCTGGGACATGCACAGCTGAGGGCAGTCTAGGATGAACATAAACTATCTTTTAGCCCCAGGACGTTGGACCGTTTGCTTGGAGCCTTTGGGAGTGAGGGTGTCTGAGCCCTTCAGACGGAGGGTAGAGGAGAAAATCAGTTGTTAAAGCAAGAACTTTGCTGTTTTGGTTTCTGCGCCTCCGCCACATCTTCCATCAGTCAGGTCCTCCTCCTTTTCCTAGACTGTTTCTTCCCCCTTTTACTTTGTTCTCCCTCTAATTCCCTTCCTCCCCCATTTCATTAAGGATCCTTCCACGCTGCCTCCCTTGCTGTCTCATTTCAATAATAATGGCTTCTTAAGAAGCACTCCTTGCTCACCTGTACTCTTTAATTAGCCTCTCCTGTGCGTATGGGAGCTTGTGTCTGGTTAGCTGGGGGTAGAAACAGCAAGTGAACAGCCCCCAGCATTTCACTGCCGGCTGTGACATGGTTGACTTCAGAAAGGTGTTTTGATCGGTGCCTGGTTAAACACTGCAGCAGCGAGCGGCACATCCAGGTCGTCTTGAATCTGAGACATCTTTAGCTCTCTGGCACAGCAGAAAAGCCTCTCGCCCCTCCCCAGCAAATGTTAACAAAGAGAAAAATCAGAAAATGATAATTACAGAGTAACGGTAATTATTAAATAGAGCCCAATTATAGTCAAGTTACAGCATAATCAGTGTGGGAGAGGAGCAGAGCACACGGTATCTCCAAGGTTGATGCGTGGATTTTTCTAGGGAAGCACTGGTAAGACTCAACTTCATGTATAACCATCTCCCCTGGCTAGCTGTCAAAAGCCAGACAGCCTCAAGGATATTCAGCTCTGGGAGGGTGATACAGGCTAACTTGGAGAAGGAGTGCTTGTTCTGGGATGGGGACGATCATCTGGCCTGTTTCTAGGAGGCCCAATGTGACTGATTTCATTTGCATGTTGCTGTAATATATATATATATATATTAAAAAAAAAAATCCCACACTGAAAGCAGGGTGTTGTAGCACACGTAGTACGGTTGTGCTTTACTTTGGGACTCCTGGCTTGGTGGGAGGGAGGGAGTCAGAGTACCCAGGTTTTTTCAAATCAGTACTGTCCTGGCATCCCTGGTTTTGAAGAGTTTACTGATACTCAGAACTTTGCCACAAGATGAGGCTTAATCCATGACTGTAAAGAGATTGGAGAAAAGCAAGTAGCTCAGTGTATCACTGTTACCTGCAATGAGTTGCAATGTGAACCTGCAAAAGACAGACAATGGAGAGGATGATGTGAATTTTTTTTTTGTTTTGTTTTGTTTTGGTTATTGCCTGCATTTAACTTGTGTTGGCGACCACTGCACAGTCCTCAGAGCAGTGGGGCTCTCCTCTACCAGCTCCCTCCAGCTGGACCTCTTACCTGTGACCTGTGGCCTTCCTGACATCTGATGAAGAGACGAGATGGTGACAATGAGCTAAACTTAAAAACTTCCAGGTTATGGAACAGGCCTCTGCACATTTCTGTGGTCAGTCTGGGAGAGGGACAACAGCTCCAAACTGGTGTAACTTGGGCTTCCTTTGGCAAAAATACACTTTTTTTTTTTTTTTTTTTTGTTTCTGGCTTCAGAATGGGTTTATTTTTTTCCTGCTGTGGTTTTCCTGCACAGGTCTCTGCAGTCCCACAGGGAATCACCCTCCTCCTCCTCCCGTCTTACAGTCGGGCAGCGTACTGCTACATCCCTGCCTCTATTTCAGTATTTCAGAGGTGGCTGCAATTAATTCCTACCTGGGGCTGATCCTGGAGCAGGGACTGCGAGTCAAGGCTCGTGTGTGCTGTTGCTAGCTCTGTTCCTGCCCTGTAATCCCAGGTAAGCCTGTTTGCTTTCTGGAGCTCTGGTTTTGCCACGGGTGAACTGAGGGCACCAGCGCTGGCTCGCCCTGCAGACAGGTTGTGAAGATGGGTGGGTTTTTTGGGGCTGTCAGGGTGACAGCAGCTGTCAGCACTGAGCAGCCTAGAGAAGAATAAAATGAATAAAGAGGAGCTCAAATCCTATTTGGTGTGAGCTGGATTGTGGAATAAAGTAACAAACTGGCATCTTTAATGCTCTGAGTGTCCCTCTGCTGCTGTGGAGGTACCAGGGCCCCAACATTATCTCATTAGGTGCCTGGTTACGGGAAGAGAGAGATCATTAACTAGGGAGAGGTATCCAGGACCCATCAGACACAACTCATGTGAAGCCACTCACTAAACCTGGATACACAGGGACTAGGAGCATTAAAATCTCAATTTAAGTGGAAATTGGAGGCTGTTCTTGAGAGAGAAGGGGCAGCAGCCGGCAGCCTGTCCCGGGAGCTTGGACAAAGGGCAGGGCTGGTGGGACTCGACCCCCAGCCTGAGGAAGCATGTGTCTGGGGAAGGAGACAGCACCGGGCTGGGGACAGAGGTGGCTGCGCAGGGGCTCTGAGCTGCCCCTGCTACGGATGGATCTCAGTGCCTCACCAGGCACCGCTGTGCTCTGCCCGCTCCTGTAGCTCCCCTCTATTCCCCAGCCCTGTGCAGATAAAAATCCCATTTGAAGCCACAGCGTGCGTGGTCCCATCCTCCCGCGGGACCGTTGGGCTCAGGCTCTGGCCGTGGGCCTTAGGCTCCTTCGAGCTCTGCAGGGTTTTTCCTCTTTTCTTTTCTTCCCTGCGTAGTTCCTGCCGCAACGACGAACGGCGAGCAGCCCGGAGACATTTAGCGCAGTTACCATGAGACACAGCGGATTGCTCAAAACCACTCCTGGAGAGTCTGCCGTGGAGAAAAGGGTCCGTGGGTCAGCTCTGCTCCCAGGTAAACGGCAGCAGCGGTGTGTGTGGGGGGGCTCTGCTGCCTCTCAGGGCTGTGGGGGTGCCCGCTGCCAGCACTGCTGTGGTTTGCAGACGCGGGACGGAGGCACCACGTGCCCTGGCTCTGGTTTGCAGCGGAGGGGGCTCCTGTTCTGCAAGCCTGTGCTGCTGGTCCCGCGCTCAGGGCTGGTTGTCTCAGCCTGGCTCTAAAGGAAAAGGAGAGCAGGGCTTTCGCGTCTCAAACCTGGAAAATTGTGCCTCCCTGCTTGTGTCTGTGCGAATTAGAAAGGATGCTGCAAGGCTGGGAAAAGGGCGATGTCTTACTCTGTGCAATCATGAAATCGATGCACGTTTTATTATGTTGGCCTGGGGCAGACAGGAAGACTCTGGGAATTAACCGCGTGCGGGTGGTTGGTGCTGGTGCTGCAGCAGACGGATGCACAGTCGTGCTCAGCACTCCTTTCCCAGCTGGGTTGCAGGAGGAGTGTATTGGGGGGACAGTGTGGGGCAGGGGATGGCTGTTGCCCCCAGAGTGATTTTTTTTTTAAGTTGAGGAGGAATGGATTTAGCAAAGAAAAATAGTGGCAGGGAAGGGTAATGGGATGTGGCTGGTGTAGGTTGCTGTCTTGCCTGATTTTTGCTTCCAAATTGGAAACATCAGCCGCTCTTCTCATCAAGCAGAAGCTGGGGTTGATCTCCAAGGAAAGCAGCTCCAGACAGGGGTCAAGACTGGATGAGGGTCTCCAGATGCTGGGAGGAGCCTGGCAGAGGCCCTGGTGGAAATCAGGAGCCTGGCTTTCTCAATCTAGATGGTAATTTCGAGCAATCAGTCAGCCGAGGGGGGAGAGGCGGGAGGGATTTAACCCGGCCAAGGAGGGTTTTGTGAGAGCAAGGCCAGAATATCTCCCCGCACCAGCACAGGGGTGGCTCCGATTTGCCCGGGTGTCTTGCAGTGTGTGGAAAGAAGCCCAGACCCACTTCTTTTCTGCTCCTGCAAGAGAAATAACGCGGGTCACAAGTTACCTTTGAACAGCTCGCTACCAAACCACGCGCTTGGTTTCCATCAGCCTCGCCGCTGTGTTGACCAGCGGCGGTTGCTGAGCTGGGGGACCCCCCCGCACGCCGGGAGAGCGGTCGGTCGGCGTGATGCTGCCCTTGTTTCAGTTCTGAGCAATGTTTTAAATTCTGGAGACCCTTACTCTTCCAGAAACTGGCACCTGGGGCAAATTGCCCCCCCCCAGGATTTACGCGTGAACTCATTAAGGAAACTAGGAGGATAATGAGAAATGTTGAGTCTCAGTGGCTTCACCTGGCAGACCCGAAACAGGCCCAAATCTCCAGTTGGTCAGCCCAAAACGGAGGCTTTTGGCATCAGAGGCTGCTTCTGACAACTGCTCTGTGCACGGCCTCGCTAAGGAGGAAAAAAAATGGTTGAAAACTCTGGGACTTTTGGCTGGAGGAAAAGCAGGGGTCTGTCTTTCGAGGGGAAATGAGCAAGTAAAAGATTTCCCAGGCGTAAAGCTCGTCTGGCTGGAATCGGCCCCCCCGGAGTGGGGCGAGTCCAGCATCAGCAAAAAAGGTTGGGGTTTTTATTTTGTTCTTATTTTGTGGTTTTTTTTTCGGGGGTGGGGTTTTTTTGGTGGGTGGGTTTTCTTTTTTTGGGGCGGGGGGAGGGAGGTGGTAGGTGGATGTTGGGGGGGTTTGTTTTCGCTGTTGTTTTGGCTTGTTGTTTTATGTTCTGGTTTGGTTTGCTTTGGGTTGGTTTTTGGTTTTGTTTTGGGTTTTTGTTTGTTTTTTTGTTTGTTTGTTTTCGGTTTTTAGTTTTGGTTGTTTTTTTTTTTTTTTTTTTTTCTTTCTTTTTTTTCTTTTTTTTACTTTTTTGTTTTGCTTGTGTTTTTTTTTTTTTTTTTTTTTTTCTGTTTTCCTTTCTTTGTTTGTTTTGTTTGTTTTCGGTTTTGTTTGCTTTTTTTTTTTGTTTTGTTTTCTTTTTTTTTTTTTTTTTTTTTTTTTGTTGTTTTGTTTTCGTTTATTTGTTTGTTTTTTGTGTTTTTTTGGAGCTAGTGTTTTAGGGCCACCTCCTGCGTGGACACATGGTTTCCCCCAACACCCAGACCCGGGGATCCCCCACTCCCACCGCCATCTCCGATCGCTTCCCCAAACACGCGTGACCCCCGCACCCCCCGGCCGTGTGTGTGTGTGTGTGTTTGTTGGGGAGCGGGGGGGGCGGCTCTCGGCGCTCCCCACGCGTGTCGCGGGGGCGGCGCTGCCCGGCGGGAGGAGCCGGGGCCGGGCGCAGGCGCCGCAGCGGGAAGCGCCGTTCGGCCGGGCCTGGCGGTGAGGGGGGCCGGGGGGGTCCGGGGGGGGGGTCCGGGGGGCACTGCGGGGATTGGGGGGTGCGGGGGAAGCGGGGGGGGGAGCGGGGTGCTGGGGGGGGAGGGGGGTGGGGGGGTTATAAGGTGCGAAAGGCAGCACGTGGGGCGGGGGGGGGAGGGGAAGGGAGTAACGGGGCCGCCCGGGGGTGTCGAGGGGTGCACGGGGCCGTACGAGGCGCTGGGGGGTGCAGTGGGGTGCACAGAGGGGTGTGTGTGGGGGGTGTCGTACAGGGAAAGGGGGTACAGCAGCCTGCTGGGGGTGCGCAAGGAAATGGGGTGTAGCGGGGTGCGCAGAGCAGCACAGGGTGCTGGGGGGGTTGCACAGGAAAAAGGGGGTGCAAGGGGGTGCGCAGAGCAGCGCAGGGTGCTGGGGGGGGGTTACACAGGGAAGGGGGGTGCAAAGGGGTGCACAGAGCGGTGGAGGGTGCTGGGGGGGGTTGCCCAGGGAAGGGGGGTGCAAGGGGGTGCACAGAGCAGCAGAGGGTGCTGGGAGTGCACAGGGAAAGGGGTTGCGGCAGGGTGCTGGGGGTGCACAAGGAAATGGGGTGCAGTGGGGTGCACAGAGCAGCATAGGGTGCTGGGGGGGTTGCACAGGAAAAAGGGGGTGCAGATGGGGTGCGCAGAGCAGCAGAGGGTGCTGGGTGTGCACAGGGAAAGGGGGTGCAGCAGGGTGGTGGGGGTGCACAAGGAAATGGGGTGCAGTGGGGTGCACAGGGTGCTGGGGGGGGGTTGCACAGGAAAAAGGGGGTGCTGGGGGGGTGTGCAGAGCAGCGCAGGGTTCTGGGGGTGCACAGGGAAAGAAGGTGCAGCAGGGTGCTGGGGGGGTTGTGCAGGGAAGGGGGGTGCAAGGGGGTGCACAGAGCAGCACAGGGTGCTGGGGGAGCACAGGAAAAGGGGGTGCAGCAGGGTGCTGGGGGGGGTGCAAGGGGGTGCACAGGAAAAGGGGGTGCAGCAGGGTGTTGGGGGGGTGCACAGAGCAGCAGAGGGTGCTGGGTGTGCCCAGGGAAAGGGGGTGCAGCAGGGTGCTAAGGGGGTGCACAGAGCAGTAGAGGGTGCTGGGGGTGCACAGGAAAAGGGGGTGCTGGGGGGGTGCAGGGGGGTGCACAGGGAAAGGGGGTGCAGCAGGGTGCTAAGGGGGTGCACAGAGCAGCAGAGGGTGCTGGGGGTGCCCAGGGAAAGGGGGTGCAGCGGGGTGCACATTGCAGCAGGGTGCTGGGAAGGTGCAAGGCAGGCAGTAACACAGTTCTGGGGGTGCCGGGGGCAGGGCTGCAGGCTGGGTCAGGTTTTTGGGGTGGGGTGGGGGCTTGCAGCCACGTGGCCCCCTCCCTCCTCAGGCGTCCCCTCCCGCTGCCACCCTGGCGCTGCGCTGCATGGACGGCGTCTTCCTCTCGCCCAACGAGGATGAGTTCGTGGGCAGGATCGCGGAGGAGCTGGAGCACTTCATGCTGCAGGGGCAGCACCACAGGTACCACGGCCCCCGCCCCGGGGTGCAGGGAAGGGTCTTTGCAGGGGGGGGGTGGGGGGGGGTTCTCCAGGGTGGGTTTGCACGGCGGCGTTTGGAGCCTGGCTGCAAGGGCCTGGCCCGCAGGGACGCTTCAGCCGGGCGCCCTTCCGTGCTCCTTCAAGCAGAGTCCTTTTGCACCAGCCGCGGCCTGGCCCAGCTCACTAGCCAGCCCAACAACTTAAGACGAAGAGTTTTGTAATCAAACTGTTTCTCCCCCCCCCCCCCCCCCCCCTCTGTTGAGGGCTTCCTGCGCGCCGGATCCTCCTCCCCGGCAGCGAATTCCATCACCTTGGATTGCTGCGGCGTTTTCCTTTGGCCTGGGTTTAACTGGACCTGGTCCCTGATCCAGTGACCTCAGAAACCTTTGAGATGGCCCAAAAGAGGGCGTTAAACGGGAGCAGGCGCGGGGTTGTTTAGATCAGCTTCCTGACAGCTTGTTATATGACCTTAAGTATTTGCTTTTTCAACAACGTTTGGCAGAGCAAGGACCTGTGCAGCTGTAAAACGCTCAAGAACGGAACTGGAATTGTAAAAACGTGTCTAAATGCAGTGAAATCGAATGTGGTGTTTACACACCCGCTCATATTCTTTTAGTGGCTGGTTTCTGGAGTGCACTCGGACTGGGAGGAAGGGGACTGGGAGCAACCTTCTGCTGGTGCTTCCCAGTCATTCCCAGCAGGGATCCAGGCAGGAAGGAGCATCCCAGCCAGAGGCCCCTGCGACCAGGAAGCCCGCTCCCCGTGCTATGTGAAAAGCGAGCGCACCTGTCTAGATATCGAGGATGGAGAGAGGGATTTTGGCTCTTCAATACCAAAAAGTCCTGCTCGGCTTTTGGGCTTGGATTTAAACCCTGCCCTGGGAACACCTGGGGAGGAGAGGTTGCTAAATCCTCGCTACGTTCCCGTTCTCCTTCCTGCAAGCCGCTGATTGCCCTCGGCCTCTCTCATTGCAGAGTGCTCCTGTTCCCCCCTCTGTCCAGTCGCCTCAGGTACCTGATCCATCGCACCGTGGACAACGTGGAGTTGTTGAGCAGCTTTTCCGTGGGAGAAGGATGGAGGAGGAGGACGGTCATCTGTCACTCGGCCGTGAGGTATGGTGCCCTCAGTGTAACGGTGCTTTCCTTTCTGTGGCCGCGGGGTTTTTGTTGAAGCTTACAAGCACAAAGTTGTATCTGTTATCGGCAGCATCTTCCAGTCATTAAGGAAGCAGAGGCTCTTTTTTTCTTTTTTTTTTTTTTTTTATCTCCCCCTATCCACTGACTTCTATGTGGATTTGATGCTTTTCCTCCTCTCTCTCTTTTGCAAATATTGTGTTGCTCGGGTTCCTCTGCTCCCCGCTCACATCTTGCCGTTCTGGTCCCAGGCTGCCCAGCGAGACAAGCGACCAAAAACCCAGCAGCAACCCACCGAGACCTCAGCGACCTCCGCAGCCCTGGGGCCGGGGGGGCCGGGGCGGCAGGCTGCGGCACGGCGGGGAGATGCACGGGGACAACTCCCGAGCCTGCGTGGGGTCTGGCAGGATAAAAAGGCCGCCCAGGAAGAAGCCAGATAAAGCCCTGTACATCCCCAAGGCGATGCGCAAGAAGGCAGAAGGGGGGGAGCAGGAGAGCCCCGGGGGAGCTGGCACCGAGTCGGGTGGGGACGTGGCACAAGAAGAAGAGATTTGCCCTAAAGCTTCAGTTGGGGACGCCGAGGAGGAGCTGGGCGAGGCTGAAGGCAGCCCTGGTGGTGTCTCCTTGGCCCGTGGCAAGCAACAGGAACCTGGCGAAGAGTGTGTTTCAGGAAAGAATAACGATGACCCAAACACTGAATGTCCTCCGTGTTGTACGGACGTCCCATCGTTAGAGAATAGCAACGAGTTCTCTGAGCAGGAAAGTCAGGCGAAAGACTGTTCAGATTCCCTTTCTTCTGTCCACAAAAAAACCCCAGCTGAAGCCGAAGAGCAAGATTTGAGCGGCGACAACACTGTTACATCAGAAGGTAGCAAAATCCTGTGCCAACTGCAAGCTGAAGACCAAAACAGCCGGGATGCCGGTGGGTTGGAGTGCGGCGAAAACTCCTCCCCGTCAGAAAGTCGCAGCAGTAACTGCCGCAGAGACCCGGCTGTGGCAGAGTCGAGTGCAGCGTCGCTGGTGTTGGAAAATCAAGATAAGAGCTGTGCTGCTGCCAGGAGCCTGGAGAGCGGCGGGAACGTGTCACCGCCTGAAGAACAGGGCAAGGACTTTGTGAATGCCGGCGCGGTGGAGGGGGGCAAGGGTTTCTCCAAACTGGGAAGCCAAAAGCAAGAGCGCGCCGGCGTTGTCGAGGCGGGGGGTAACCCGGACCCCCAAGAAGCCCCAAACGAGCCTCCGGCTGCACCCGCGCCGGCCGGTGAGGAGCAGGAGGAGCGCTGGGGGGGTGCTCCCGTGCGGAGCCCCGGCGGGAAGGGGCCCGTGGAGGAAGAGGAGGAGAAGGAACCGTCGGGCTTGGCCGACGTGCTGTGGCGTGAGCTGCGCTTGGCTGCCGGCGACCGGGAGGAGAGCGCGGCCGTCCGCGGGCAGGGCGGCCTCGAGGACGACTGCACCGCAGAGCTCTTGGCTGAGGTAGTGGTTTTGCCACCGGTATTGCCGCGGGGAGCGACTGGGGGGGAGGAGAGAGGGTGGCCCCAGGGGAAGGCGTTGGCCCGCGGGAGGAGGGTCCCTGCGGCTCTGAACCTCTTGGCAGGAGTGTGGCCGCAGGTGGGCTTCGCAGGGAGCAAGGCGGGGCCCCCTCGGGATTGCTCTTTGAAGTAAAAACCTTGTCCGGGGTTTATTTTTGGTTTTGAATGTTCTCAGATTGTGGGTCATTTAACCGTGAAGGATATAAGCATTGAGAAGATCAGCGTTGATTATTCCAGCTACGGAGATGCACAGCTCAGCGAGGGGGATTTTGGCCACGTAACTGAAATCTATGATTTCGCCCCGTCGCTGAAAACGGAGCACCTGTTAGAAGCGTTCTCGGATTTCCAGTGAGTACCTCGCCGAGGGCCTGAGCACTAGTCGGACCTGAATGCACGAGAGAACGTGATGAATTTTCATTTCACCTTCATGCCCTTATGTCTCGCATCCTTTCTGTGCCACAAAGCGCGCTTTCCTGCAGCTTCTGCGTGATTTAAGACACGCCTGGTTCTTCAGGGCTCTGTCATACACTGAATTAGCTGCGTGGGGGCTTATTCCTCCTGCTCAGGGAGAGTCTTCAGGTGCTTCCTCAGAGCTTCTTGGTTATCGCATCTTAGTGCCTGAGTGAAATTACGTGCTTACATAAGTCTTTGCAAGGAAAAGGGCTCAGTCCTGCTGTTGGAGATAAGGTTTATTACGTAAACGTGGGGAACAGAGCGGCGTGCCTGAGGGAGCGACACTGGCTTAGGGGCAGGACCAGAGCAGAGTCCAGCCCCGCGTCGGTCCCCGTTTTCCTCCCGCCATCCTCCTCCTCGCTCGAACACACCTGATGGATTAGATGCGAGCCCTTCGCCTCTTCGGATCCCTTAAATTAAAAAAACCATGATTTACATTTTAAATAAGCTGCTGCCTATTGTGTGTGTGTTCCCTCTAATGTATTTTTTTTCCCCTCGCTGTGAAACTCAGCTGAAAATTGATGGATCTAATCTGAGCAGATGATTGTATTTCCTGTGCCGCGGGAAAATGTTTGAACTCCCAAACTCACATTTTCCACGGACACGTTATTAGATGTTCACATCGGTCTCTTCACCCTGAGCTTTGTAAACCGCTTTTATCAATCACTTCCTTTTTATTGTAGATGTCTGAGCAATTGGGTGACGCCTGTAAAGCGCTACATGAACGACGAACGTTATTTTTGTGTTGTGAGACAATCCCTGAAATTGAGGTTGATTTTGGCCAAGGGTTTCTTTAGAGGGAGATTTCTTGGGGGCAGCTCCTGGGGGAATCGTACATTGCTGCCTTGAAAGGGGCACATCTAATGCTCTTCTGTTCCTTCCTTTCCTTCTCTTTCCCCTCATCTAAAATGGGTATTTGAAAAGCACCAGCTGTCTACATAAAAATACTAAGTACCCTTGATAACTCAAGGTGGCTGATGGGTTTTATCGTGTGGGTTGTTTTTTTTTTTTTTTTTTTCCTTTCTTAATTAATATCACTCCATTGTCTTTTAATTTTAGCGAGAGCGGTTTCAAAATCCAGTGGGTCGATGATACACACGCCCTGGGAATCTTCTCCAGCACGTCTACAGGTAACACGGCTGGATTCGGGGCTGGGATGGAGGGACCCACAGAGCTGCTGGGGTGTCTGTGCTCTGGCCCGGTGGCCCTGGACCGACGCCGTGGTGCGCGGCTGCCGAGTCTTTTGCTCAGGCTAAGCTGTTGCCGAAGGGACTCGGGGTTCATCACGTCTTTCCTCCTGCACGCTTCAAGCTTGAAAGGCTTTTAGGGCTTGAGAAGCTGGAATTGCTGTGGTGGCGTGTGGAAACTCGGCTTTGCAAGAACAGCAGGTTTTTAATGGGCTTGGGTAATAACCCAGGGCACCTTTTGTATACGGAGCGACTCACGTTGCATTTCTGAAAATTAATCTGTTTTGCCACTTCAGGGTTTTGTTTTGGTTTTTTTTTTGTTTTTTTTGTTTTTTTTTTTTCCCCCTCTTGTAACGAGACACAGTTCCTGCAAGCACACACTAACCTCCTGGGGCCCTTAGGCACGCAGGTCAGGCACCTCCAGCCCAACTGACCTGCTCGGGGACGGGCACCCCAAGCTCAGGTCAGAGCCAGCCCAAGAGAATTTTCCATCCAGCAGCGGACCTAGTCCAAAAGCTGATGCTGTTTTCTTGGGATTGCGTCTAACAGTGACAGAGTTCTCTTTTAAAACATGTTTATATTTTGTTGGGACTCTCCCTGTGTGAGGAATGTGTGATGTAAGCCTGAGGTGACCAGAATTAGTTGAGCTGTTTTAGTCCAAGTCCTGAGAGAACACAACAGCTGCTGAAGCTCAAATTATTCGGTGTTACCGTACCATATACTGATTTTTATGATTAAAGCCACCGATACTCAGTCTACTAATTTCAGCAATCTTTGTTCTTTGAAGCCTCTCAGGCCCTGGGGCGACGTTATCCTTCTTTAAAGATCCGACCGTTGATCCATGCCACGAAGCAGTCTAAAATCAAGGCACTTCAGCGACCAAGTAAGACAATCTTTTTAAAAATTTATTATTAGTAGTATTTCTTGATTTACCCGTCCCCTGTATCCTGAGTGGTTACACTGACAAGTTAAATGGGGATATACATATTAAGGACCAGTATTTCTTTTTCTATTTTTTTTTTTTTTTTTTTTTTACAGCATTATTTGCATTGCAGGACAGTGAGCTGTTGTGCAGAGTCTTCAGTAAAAGCCTGCAGATGGTTTTCTGTTGTTTCTTTTTTTTTTTTTTTAATACAGTATTTTCAGCTAACCTTTAACACAGTTAAAACTTACTGCATCAGTAATGCTGGTTTCTGCCCGTTGGCAGCAGGCAGGAGTGGCTGGCACAGGTGAATGTGATGACAAAAATTTTCAGAAAAAGAACTACGTTATAGGCTACTTCTGGGAGAGAGAACTACAGCTGTTACCTGTGCTTAAGTTTTCAGTCACTCTTTCCTGCTCTACAAGGACTGAATCAACAAAGCATCAGATCCTGTTGCTTTTTGTTTTCTCTTCAGCTAAGTGGTTTGCTGAAATTCAGGCTGAGTTTTTCTTGTGTTATTCTCTTGTGTAAAGGTTTAAGTGAACAGTTGGGTTGTTCAGCTGTAGCAGCGACTGCAGGAAGACAAACCTATTATTCTGCAGGGTTAAAGGTAATAGAGGAGACAAAACCGAGAGCAGTTACATTTTGTGGTTGGCATAATTTTATTCAGTATCAGGTGAAGGAAGAAATTGTTAAGCTTAGCCATTAACATTGTTTTATTTATTTTATTGCCTTTTAAAATCATACTGTAATCAGTTATACTTGCCACAGTAAAGAAATGCTGTGAATCTTGTAGCAGTAGAGACTTTGCTGAACATACAATTATACCGTTATTTCTACAGTACATTGCAGTTGAAACAAATTTCAGCATTAATGCTTGAAAGGGACACTGTCACAGTTAGAAGTTCCTGAGTTTTTAAGATTACTAGATTTAAATGAAATGTCAAAGAATTGGATTTGGTTTTGCACTCTCCCCTTCAGCTGTTTGCGTTCACACTTCCTGATTCTCGTTGCTGCAGCCCATCGGCACGCTTCTGAATCAGGGTATAAAATCCTTCTGGGGAACATTATATATAAACTGTGTTTGTATTCAGTTTAAGTTGCTATTTTTTTTTTTTTTTCCAAATACAAATTTGGATCTTAATTAGATGACAGTGTCTCTTCTTTTTTTTTTTTTTTTTTTTTTTCAGTTTTGTCAAGAAGGAGTGGCAGTTTTATTTTCCAAGCTGTGGATGCTTTGAGTTGGCCTCTTTTTAAGCTGCTGATGGGCTGCCTTTATTAATGAAACTTTTGAAAAAGCAAGCAAAGCCCCCATTGCTAACTGAATAATACATTTGCAAACAGTTGCTGATAAACAACTAGGTAACTGTACCAAATCCAGACTACTGTGGACTTGGTAAAGTTTGGGTGTATTTATTTCTTGTAAGATGAAACTGTAGCAAGCCAGGTGTCTGCCAGAAAATGGAGGTTACTGGCCAAAGGGCTTTCCCAAAGCATCTGATGCATTTAGCTATTTTTTTAAAAAATGCAGATTTTTTTTCCTTACTGCTTTCTAAGGAAATAGGCTGCTGGTTTTGATTTGAGATCAGACTTTCCTGTGCATGGATAAATTGGTTGGACTGCGTGCCTTCATTTTGTTCTCAGAGATGTGACTTGCTGAATTTTGCTGGGAATGGGTAAGAAGCTGCTCCTGAAAGCAAATGGGGAACAATTCTCTCTACCACTGCAGAAGAGGCCTGGAGCTTAATTGTAGCTAAATAGTGTTTGAACTGTCATTGAAAAATCTTAAGGACAAATCTGGAGGCACATCCTTCTAAGAGAAAAGGCGATTTACTGCACAGAGACAGGATGATTTACTCATGCTCCCGGGCTAATTCCGTAAAGGAGCTAAGGAAATAGAAATCAGCCCTTGTGCCTGCCAGGCCTGTGGTTTAGCCACAAGCCTGGTCCTGAACAAGCACTAACTGGATGATTTTCACCCGCTGTTACCTAGAGCTCCTTCACCTTGCAAAAGAAAGACCCCAGACTGACACTGCGGTGGCGAAGAGGCTGGTGACCCGGGCCCTGGGGTTGAAGCACAAGCAGCAGGGAGGCTCAGGCACCGAAGGGCTTCTGCTGGAAAGCTTGGACCAGGAGGAATAACCCATCTCAGCTAAAAAAAAGATGTACAGATGAGCATGGCTGTGATATTAAACTGCATGCAGAACAGTGAGTTGCCACGGGGATGTTCTCTTATGGATTAGCACCGTCTTTTCTTTTTAAAGTTGGGAAGGGGAAAAGTTTACTATTAAATGAAATCTTGAGCTCAAGAGGGTTGCTGTTAGCTCTTCGTTAGGGAGAGCATCTTGCCCTACTTTGTAACTCTCACTGGGGCACTTGCAGAAAGTAAGGCTGCTTGCAGAAAAGCCTGCCCTGTAATGTTCAAAACAATGCACAAGAGTAAGGGAATTGTATCCTGTTGGCCAAAACTCAGCTGTAAGCAAAGGCAGAGCATCTGCAGAAGTCAAAAAAACCTGTTTACTTTGTTGTAATGTTATTGTTAAAATATCCCACAAAACTGACAGGCATTGAATGCAAGTGAGTTTCTGGGTTTTTTCCTTACCTACACCGTGTTTAGAGAGCCTGCCCTGCCTTGGTGCAGCGTCTGCAAGGGAAGTTGCCGTACACTGATGAGGTAAAGAAAACCAGAACTTGCCAGTTTTCCCAGAGCCTGGCCTTAAGCCTTGCTGCGAAACGTCCTGGTGGGGCAGCAGCTCTAGAGCATCCAACACATCTCAGCTTCTGCTTTTGCTACACAGCCCGGCGTCTCGAGAACGAAATGGAGTTTTCCACTTCACAGTAGGCTAAAAACCTTTGCTAGATGCCACCATCTGGGCCACTGGATAAATGACAGAAACACTCTGACAGGCATTAGCAAAAGACTTCTGCATTCTTTAAGCCTCACAACATCCCTGTGAGGTAGGTTATGGAGAGCACGAGTAAGATGCAGCCAGATTCAATCCCCCTGTGGATTGAAATGGTCAGCTACGAGTATTCTGTTAACTTTTAGCTGCTTGTAGAAGTCTTCCGTCCAAACACAGAGGGAAAAAAAACTTCAGTACTAGGAATTGTGAACAAGGCCCTAAACTTTCATGGAGTAGAAAGACACAAATGGCATATAAAACATTTTTTCTGGGTAAAACACTTTTATTCAAGTAGCTGTGTCTGAAAAATCTGTAGCAATGCGTGTCCTCAAACAAACAGAGGAACACACTTAGCACCATTATGAATTTACTAAGTGTAAAAATCCTTTTGAAGACAACTTACACAGGTGGGTCTGTGACAGCACAGGTCCAGGTCCCTGATGATGAAAGCCATGAAGTTACCTCTGTAAGGTACAGTGAGGATACAATGCCTTAACTAAATTCATCCTTTAAAGAAAAGACAGAGTGAATATCCAGCTTAGCAGGTAATATTTAGACGTGTGTAGGATCTGTTGGGTGACTAGCTTACTGTGTAATGGAAATTCACAGTCCAGTGGACTCATCATCAGGAGATCTGCAAAGTCTTGGAGGTGTTACAAGGGAGGTGCAGCTTCACGGAGCCCTGTTGCACTTGTAGAAGACAGTTCTGCATTAGCTGCTCCGCTTAAGAGATTGTGTTGGGAGTTGATTGTTGAATACAAGAGTTTCAATGCGGTATTAAATTACGCTTTATACTGTTCTGCTCAGAAAAAGCTGCTCCATTTTTTTTTTTTTTTTTTTTTTCCTTTCCTGTCTGTCTTTGCTAAAATGGAGTAGTGACATGGCAGTTGGATTAGCTGTGTTCAAGAAGCAGCATCACAAACGGAGGCGTTTGCATCAAAGGTGCGTTCAGGCTTGAGTCAGAGAGCTTAAAGATACCAAAATTAATGCCTTGAAGAAAACGAATGGTAAAGACATACACTTAGATTGTTGGTACCCAAACAAAGGCAAATTGTGCTTGCTGCAGCCTGGACCTACGTCTGTGAATAAAGACGGTGCTGCAAAGTGGAGGGAGGGATCAGTGTGGAGAAGGTTGGGATGGTGAAGATACGGAGCCGAGTGGAGTTTAAAAGCCTGCTCCTAACTACCTCAGTAGCCGGGACTGGAGTTACAGGAGACACAGGGTGGTCTGAGCACCTAAACTGGGAAGGAAGGCATCTTTAGAAAATAATTTACCTTGCTAATTTAGAGTTTGATTGTTTGCTTGATTTTCTTTCTTGTGCAGTGGTTAGGGAAATCACCGAAGCAGGAAACCTCGCTTCTTTAAATAGTGGGGTGGGAGGCGATGCTGTTCTATCGGGTGGACACCTTGTTATTTGTGAGTCCGCTGAAGTGATCGAACTTCTGTTCCGTTTCCTCGCTGAAAGAGCCGCCTGGGGAGTTCACAGAAAGAGCACAGGGTTGAGCAGGAGGTAGCAAAGGCAGTTTGCAACGCGCGGGGGTTTTGTGCAAGCGGCAGAAGAGGCTGGGAGAACAAAGGGCTCAGAGCGAGTACAAGCAGAGCAAAGTTCTTCCTGGGCTAATTGAAGCATTAATTAAATCTTACCCTAACTGCAACAGCCAAGAAGCCCCAGGAGTACTGGATTGAATCTTTTTATGCATTTGGAAGACTAGACTAGAAACTACCCTCAGTCCCACTGCTAACCTTTTGTTGCTTAAAAAAACCAGGTGCTGACGAGCAGGGCCTGTGAGCTGGTCTCCTGCTTGGGGCTGTTGGGACCTGGGTTCTGTTTACTCTTCTTAAATAGGACCAGGCCCTTACTTTTTGCTAACTGAGGGACAATGAAAGATAAATGTGTTTAGGACAATGAAAGATAAATGTGTTTATTTTTAAATGGAAGTATTTTCAAACTCAGCTGAAGAGCCCATCCAACACTTAAGTGCCTGTTCCTCCAACTAAAATGGGTTTGGCTTTTCTGAAGGGGGTCGCCACTGGCAGTGTGACACACGAGACAAATGTTTTCTTTAAAAAAAAAAAAAAAGAGAAAAAAAAAATCAGTGGTTACAGGGTTTTTTTTCAGGACAAACACTCCTTGAAGAACTTCAGCCAGCTCTGGAAATTACCACTGGTTTTATTTGGAGGTTGGCAGTTGCTGTTAAACTGTTAACTAGGAAAATATATCATCTTACAAAGCCCCCAACTTCATTTTAAAATGGTCGTGACAGTTGACTGTTAATGCAAATTTAAACTAGTTTGGCTTTGATATTTCCGAGACCCCCCCAAAAAATTCCAAATGCTAACGTTTTATGCCTATTCAAGAAAATACGCAGTTTTCCCTCCCATTCAAGGGGCAGCCGAGCACTTTCATTTCTGGCTTGAGCAGGGGGCTCTTTGTTTGCTTTTCAAGAAAAGAGAAGCTTGAGGGTCTGGAGAGGTCAGTCCCGGGCTGGAGTTGTTTGCCTGGACCTCCTTGGGCGCCCCAAACAAGATTGCACGAGAGCTTTCCTTACGCCTGTCTGCGGAGGGAAAACCACTCATTTCCTTGTAGCAGAGGTGCACAGCTGGAACATCTGTTTTCCCCGGTTTACCCCGCCCGAGGGGTTTCTTCCAGAGCAGAGGTTGGCCCGTGCTGTGCTTTGCTGCCGTCCCAGCCACCTCGCTCTTCACAACCCGGAGCTCCTCGAGTGAGGAGCTCGGCTCTGGGTCGGGCTCAGCGTCTCGCCTTTCCGAGCACCTACGGGGCGACAGACGGCAGCGAAGGGGGGGCCCCCTCACCTATGTGGCAGTTGTACATCCAGATGCGCTGCCCGTCGTACCGGCTCCTGCACTTCATCACGTTGTTGGAATAGTCGGATTCGGCAACTTCGTAGTTTGGGTTGATGACAACCTAGGGCGACACAGCACAAAGTTATTTAAAGGTGGACTGGATAACGACACCAGTCAGGCGGAGACAGAATCAGCTTTTCCTTACACCGTAAGTTTTTTTTTTTCTCTTAAAAAAGTCAGCCACTTTGCAAGGAGACGAGCTCCTTGATGAAAGCCAGATCAGGATCACACCTTCCCCCGTGCACCAAGATACACCCTCAAACACCTTCTTTACATTTCCAGTACCAGCGCAGGCAAAAATAAATCCTCTTCCCTTCCCTCCTCTCCAGTTTAAGTGGCTGTTTTTAGAACCAAAGAATTCTCCACCCACTCGCACAAAACAAGACTGTGGGCACAGCCCTAACTCCTCACGCAGACGCCCCGGGATTTTTAATCCCCAGGTGAAGCGAGCATCGCTTACCAACAGCTCGAGACACCGGGGGGATGCTCTGTGTATCCCTAATGTGACACGTAAGGCTGGGCCTTAACCACCCGGGGCTGCACGTGGGTTCTGTAGGGCTGTCGGGTACCAGCTGCCCACGGATTTCTTAAGACTGCTGTGGTTATCAGCCCTGACTTTCCTCTTGGGGAGGCAGGTGACCTGGTAGCATCCTGTTGCCCCGTTAGGCAACTCTTAGGTGTCCTGGGAATATAATCTCTTTGTAGTCAGGAGTTTATAGTACTGTAGGAGATGTGCAAATAAAACCAGGGAGGTTCCTGACAGCCCTAATGGATAAGAGCATCAGCCGTGCCTCAAAGCCTCATTTTGCCCCACACCTGGAAGAGGTAATCGCCCGGTGGGACGTCCGTAATATCGATCCACTGGCAGTCGATGTCATGCCGGTACACGTCCCAGCAGCCAACTGTGATTCCTTGCTCACCAAAATTGGCGCATTCGTACTGTTTTTGCACATCTAAATGAGAAAAGAGTTAAAGGCACAACGCGTTCCAGTCACGGCAAGCGGGGCTGGGCATTTCCCACCCTCGGGCACGGCGGAGGAAGGGCGAGTTGTCCTCCAGCTCCCCCGGACAGCGATAAGCTCCAGACATTGTGGGTGAGATTTAATACAACAGCATCTCGCACTGAGATACACACACTGCTTATCTGCACGGGAGGAGCTGCCCCCTTCCATACCTCATCACCCAGGGGCACAGGTTGGAATTCCTCACTTTACAGGAATCAGAAAATGCACGTGTAGGTTTTCAGAGGGGCTCAGAGTAAGGATGGAAGGAGCTGAGGTCTGAAAACCTGTGGCCTTCAGGGATTCTCTTAAGGATGGAAGGAGCTGAGGTCTGAAAACCTCAGCACATGTGGCCTTCAGGGATTCTTTTATACCCATCGAGACCACTCCATGCACGTACAACCTCAGGACTGGTTTCTGGCTCCTGTCAGGACTCTG